TGCAAGGATTATTATTATTATTATAATTTAGTTTCATAATTCCTCTTTGCCTTCCTAATTGTTTTCTTGACTATTTTCCTGACCTCTTCATTTTTTTTTGTCATGCTCTCCCTTGTTGTTTACTACTTAGTGAACGCCTCTTTCCTCAGTCTCAACTTTGCCCTTATGTCTTTATTCATCCATGGTGTCTCATTATTATTTAGCTTTGTCTTGCTTTTTAGCGGAATATATTTCTCCTGGACTCTATTGATCACTGTTTTAAATGTTTCCCACTGCTGCTCTATCTCTTTGTTTGCCAATATTGCTTTCCAGTTTATTTGCCCAAGTTCCATTCTCATCCCCTCAAATCAGCTTTTTTCCAATCTATTACCCTGGTCTTTGTCATACTGATGTCCTTCTCAGTCATTATCTTAAACCTTATTAAGGTATGATCACTATTGCCTAGATGTTCCCCTACTCGAACTTTTCTTATCTGCTCTGATTCATTTCCCATTACTAAATCCAGCGGGGATTTCACCCTTGTTGGGCCACTTACATATTGGGTATGAAAGGAGTCCTGTACACATTGAAGGAACTCCATTCCCTTATCCCCTTTACCTACCTCTTCTAGCCAATTTATTTGGGGGTAATTGAAATCCCCTGTGATTATTACTCTAATTGAAAAAAAATTATTACTGTTTGTGGATGCCGCATTTCACCCACAAAATATACAGTGAATCCACTTTACAGTATTTCCTGAGAAGTGCTTTGAGATGTCTCGATGATGTGCTAAGGCATCATATCAAATGCAATTAATACTACTATTTGTATTAAGTGTAAGCAATTCAGAGAGATTGACGTTTGATTCATGTTGATCATTAAAACAATGATTTTTTCCTTATTATTTCATGTAATAATAATTCTTCCATTTGACATAGCATCTTATCACTTCTTCGAGATGTTTCAAAACACTTCACAGGATATACTGTAATAAATTATAAGTAATAAATAATTGAATAAGTTTGACACATAGTAAGACACAAAATAGTCTGTTCAATACACTGGGCGTTTTAAAGCACAATTCATCACTGAGTACTTTAAAATATAAATTGGATGGAATTTGTATAGAATTTTTTACAGTTAATAGAAAATTAATAATTAAATTCTAGTTACACTAGTTAAGCAGTTAATATGTTACCGATCAAGATAAACCAGCCTATTTACAATTATGAATCAGTTTCATTATCAGCTCATCACGCAATGAGACATCGATGATCTCTGTCATTATCCCAAGCCTTGACTGAACTTATTTTATAGTGTGGAAATAAAGTTTTCAAAATAATAAAGGTGACAGCCTGGCTCAGTTGGACGAACTCTTGCCTCTGATTCAGAAGCCTGAGGGTCCAAACCCCACCTCAGGACTTTGAGCTCCTAGTTTAGACTCTAGGCTAACAATCCAGTACAGTACTGGGAGTGTCCTACGTTTCTAGAGTTCGCCATCGCAAACCAGCCAGCATGGGAAGAGACTGAGAGGGAGAGAGTGCACACCTGCCTGATCAGCCACGTGCCTGCCCTTGCGGTGTTCTCTGGGAACTATAGTCAGGCCGTCCCTTCGCTGTGTACCAAAATTTGAACGTGTACCTATTAAGTACAATGTTTTGCTATAAACCAGATAAGCTTAGCTATCTTTTCAACAAATTTTATATAAGCTGTATGCCACTCCCATCCTGTGCATTGTTGTCTTACTTTCATAATTTTAGCCTAGTAAGTGAGTTCCTGCTCTCAAGGTTGGTGCAATCACATTGGATTACAAAGATTTACAAAGAATGTATAGCACGGAACAGGCCACTCAGCCCAACGAGTCCATGCAGTGTTTACACTCCACACAAATCTCCATCCATTCCTTTATTCCCTCCCATACCCTTACATTCCCCTCTCCTCTATATATGAGTCAAACTTCCTCATGATTGCATCTATACTATCTAACTCAACCATCGCTTCAGGCAGCGAGTTCCACAATCTCTCGATTCTCTGCATTTAGTTCCTCCTAAAATCGTTTCTTGATCCCCGAGTTGCTATTTTATACTTGTTTCCCCTGGTTACAGACTCCCTAATCAGGGGAAACAACATATATTTGTTAATCTTATCGAACCCTTTTATATATTCTACACAATTTTAAATACTTCTATTAGGTCCTCCCCATAAAGGTCTCTTCTTTAGCGAAAAAGGCCCAACCTATCCAGTCTTTCCTGATTCCAGCAATCTGCCAGCCCAGATATCAACCTACAGTAAACTCTTTCAATCACCTCTGTATTCTTCCTATAGTGTGGATTAATACTGAATACTCATATAATCAATGGTCAGACAGGTGAGTAATACATGCGAAAAACAATTACCATACTTAAATGTATCAAATTAAACTAAGAATTCCATATATAGATACCAACTACACATGAAATTTCCCTGGGTCTATAATGGAATGTGTGCTGTCTCCCTGGAGGGCTGTACCCTGCCTATCTAATTACAAAGAGTATTAGATGCAGGGTGACATAAGTCTGGGGCTGTCAGAGTGTGTGATGGGGTACTGCTGGAGTTTAACCAGCTAAAACCACATAGCTTGCGATTTGAGAGCACCAACTGTCAAGCTTACTACTGCTTGTGCAGTGAGAATCAACTCACCTGTTGTGACTTTTTCTTGACGAATTAACAGAAGCCGAGTGGAAAGAATCCCTGTTCCAAGTGAGCAGACTACCCATCGAAGTTCTGCCAACAAGCTAACAAGCTAGTCTGTCGGGTCTGTCATTAATAGCATCTTGAAATACTATAGACCTGCCCAGCTCAGAAACCAGACTATTTTAGATCACCATAGAGGATCAACTCAGTTCCAATACTGCATTGCCAAGTATGTCACCTGACGTTAAAACTAACTGAATTCTGAGGAGACACAGCTTACCTCCCTCCAAAGCCCAATGGTTGGTTATTCGGCATCTGATGTTTGAATGTTTGAGCCCTTACTAGGTGGATAGTAGAAACTCTGCAAGCTTCCTGATAAACTACTCAGCTGGTTAACGTACACCAGGAAACTAATTCTGTATCAAGGATGTGAGCAGGGGATCAGTTTAGGCTGAAGCCCTCCCTGCCTGAAACCACTTCCCTTTTTTACCACAACTGCACACAGCAGTTTCCCACAAACAGTCATGGATTGAGTGACAAATTTATCGTTTTTTTAAGCGATTATTACCCCCGTAAAAGCGACCCACCATTCGACTAACAACCAGATTCCTACTTATAATAATTACTGCAATTGGTTGCTGCGTTTCGCCCACACAATATACAGTCAATGCACTTTACAGACTTAATAAAGCGCTATATCAAATGCAAGGATTATTATTATTCATCACACCTACTTAGAGGTGTGTAATATCTGCGCCACAACTGGCACCGCCTTCCATCGCCTCCGGAATGTCGCAAGACTACAGCACTACCTCACCCCTCACGCTGCTGAAACTCTGGTCCACGCCTTTATCACCTCAAGGCTGGACTATGGGAACTCTCTCCTCGCCGGCCTTCCCGGCACCTCCCTCCACAAGCTGCAGGTCATTCAGAACTCTGCAGCTCGTGTACTGTCCCGCACCAGGCTTCGCGACCACATCACTCCCACCCTCGCTCGCCTCCACTGGCTCCCCATCCCCCAGAGGATCGAATTCAAGATCCTCATCCTCACCTACAAGAGCATTCACGGCCTCGCTCCCCCCTACCTCTCCGACCTACTATCCCCCTACCTACCTGTACCCTCCGTTCCTCTGGCTCCGGTCTGCTCCACATCCCCCGCCCCAACCACCCTACCATCGGTGGCCGGGCCTTCAGCCTCTCAGCCCCCAGGCTCTGGGACTCTATCCCCCAGTGCCTTCGCCGCCTCGTCCCTTTCCTCCTTCAAGGCCGGTCTCAAGACCTTTCTCTTTGACCGTGCCTTCAGCTCTCCTCTCGACTCTCTACCCCCTCCTCGCCCCCTCCCTTCCCTCCCCTCACCCTGACCATTTCCCCCTTCTTCGCTCCCTCCCTTCCCTCCCCTCACCCTGACTATTTCCCCCCCCTTCGCTCCCTCCCTTCCCTCCCCTCACCCTGACCATTTCCCCTTTGCTCGGGTCCTGACCCAACTGTACAGCGCCTTGGGACATCCTCTCGACGTGAAAGGCGCTCAATAAATGGAATCTTGTTGTTGTTGTTGTAAGGTAAGGAAACTTACCAAAAGCTTCACTCTGCCCGAGAATCAAACCCAGGTCCTCTCACTTGCGAGGTAAGAGCAATAACCATTAACACTACAGGAATCCATGAAGGCTGTTTTAATTGGGTAGGAATGGTGCCAGTGGACAAGCCAAGATTGACGATGTCTGTTAACTTAGGGTCAAGGGGGTGGAGCTGAGAGGTAAAAAGAGGGGTAGTAGGGATGGGGTCAAGGGACCTTTTAATATTTTACTGCTCAACATACTTGATCTCTTTATTCTTCCTCCCAAAATGTATAATCTTACATTTGTCCATATTTATTTTCATTTGCCATGATACAGCATGGTAGATTAACCTTTGTACCCACAGTCATATTGCAATTAGAGTATTATTAGAGTTCAGTACCTTGATGTTAGAGTAGTTGGCACACACAAACAGCTGAATATGATTGCAGTGTATGATAGTGATGTATTTTTACAGTTTGGGAACGTCACATGGTTTATATTGCTGTTAACCAAGAGACACTGCATTTTCTCCTGTGAGTGAGTGAAAACAAATGGCTAAGCTTTGAGATAGACAACAGATCTCCAGTGCAAAGTGTTGCTCTTTATTGGAATCCATGGATCAAACCAGTTATTTAACTATCCTTGATTTACTTGAAGAAACTGCTAGAATTTGGGATGTAACTGATCTGAGCATATTGTTGTTAATATTTGTTTTATGTCATTCTAACAGTTTTACAAATATGAATCTTCTAATTAATTTTCTGCAGCTAAATAAATGTTTTGATATTTCAGTTGAGTAAGCAACAATGCAACTAGAAGATTCAGCTGTGGGAACATTTGATTCTCAGATAGATAAATCTAAGGAGATAGAAGATCTGACAGAGGATAATGGAAAAAGGTACCTTTTTATCTTCTCTTTAATTGGAATTTGCATAATCTCTCAATTAAATTTGATCATTCAGTGGTTGTTTGTGGAGCATTTCTGTATGCAAATTGGCTCTCGAGTTCACCTTCAAACACGGTCATTGTGGAGTCCAGTAGTTCAGCGGTTAGAGCACTCGCCTCACAAGCGAGAGGATCTGGGTTTGATTCCTGGCAGGGTGAAACATTGGGCAAGTTTCCAATGTAAAGACTAGATTCTAGAAAAGTTTTAACACTGAATGTGCCAAGGTATGTAATAATAATAACCCTTGCATTTTATATAGTGCTTTATCACAGCATTCAGACATCTCAGAATGTTCCATAGGATTTACTGTACAGTATATGTAGGAGAACATGACAGCTAGATTATGCATAGCAATGTCCAATGATTGGCCATGAAATACAAGACCTATTTTGGGGGAAGATTGTTGCCAACGACACCAGGATAAACTCCCTTCTCTTTTCAAATAGTGGGATCTCCGATGTCCACCTGAACAAACAGACAGGGACGTAGTTTAACATCTCAGCGGAAATATGGCACCTCCCCCAGCACTATATTGAAGTGATAGTCTGGACTGTGAGCTCAAAGTCCCAACAAGGGGTTTGAAACCTTAACCTGAATCAGAGGCAAGAGTGCTACCAACTCAAACAGACTGACACCATTTAGTCTTGATGATTTTGATCAGCAATTTACAAATACTTTTAGCTTAGGCATTTATTTGAAACAGTGGACAGGAAATTAATGAGGCAATGGCTCTGAAATATTAAAAATATTTATTTTATTTCAGGAAAGATAAAAAGGAAGAGCCTGAAAAAGTTCCTATGGTCAGCCCCTTAAAGTTGGTAAGATGTTTAATCCATTCAATGTTGTTTTCAACCATTTTTAATGAGACATATATGGAGCATGCTACTGAAATGACTTTATAATATGCAGTACAAGAAATTAACTCTGTCATGTCAACTCAAGGAGAAAATTTAAAGAAAAATGCTTCTGCAAGGAACAATGATTACAGGAACCTTTGGTTAAACTACAGATTAATGGGGAAAAATTCTACCATAGTCTAGATTTACCTAAGTTTAATGGGGATACATACAGACATACATAGGTCCATACAATATTCTATATGTGTGGGAGTTGAGAGTTTAAATGGACGTAATGTAAAAGATATTAAATGGAATTGAAAGATCTGTGCCATGATCTAATAAACTGGTGGAAGATAGTAGGCAGGCTGATTGGCCTCCTTCTGTTCCTAAAATTCTTTGTTCCTAATACTTTTAGATACACCAAGATAGCAGGACAAGAGGTCACATGTTTATGAAGGTCAATTTTATGACTTACACCAGGAAGTATGTATTTACAAAGATGATAATCAATTGACAGAATTAAATGAACAGTGGTTTGGATCCCCTCTAAGAAGGGCAATAGGGCCATAATGCAATTTATTTAACAAACAGCTCGATATTGTTGAGGCAGTTGGGAAAAGGGGAAAGGTTGGTATTCAGGAAGTATGAAATTAAATGGAGATTTTGTTGGGAATAATATGCCTGGTTCCTTTATAAACAGGCTTCCTTTCAAATCACTGTTTTAGAGGTGGTGAATCTACATAGGTCAGTAAATCTAATATAGGCTAATGTCAATTTCAGGACACTTTTGGTATACTCTAAGGCCCTATTTTCGATCCTCTCATGCTCCTAATCCAAACAGTGCTCTCAATAGCAAGCTACATGGTTTTAGCTGGTTAAATTCCAGCAGTATCCTGAAGCACATTCCATTTAACAGAGTTAGTTCAGTAATGTTGCAGACTGTTTTCTATCTATAGGTAGAAAATACAATGCTGCCTTATGAAAGATCTATAAGCTTGACTCACCTGGTAGCACTCTCTCCTTTGAGTCAGAAGCTTGCGGGTTATAATAATAATAATAATAATAATAATAATCCTTGCATTTGATATAGCGCCTTATCACATCCTTGAGACGTCTCAAAGTGCTTCACAGGATATACTGTAAAGTGCATTGACTGTACAATTTGTGGGCGAAATGCGCAGCCAATTCTGCACAGCAGTGTCCCACAAACAGTCGTGGATTGACTGACCTATCTATCTATCTATCTATCTATCTATCTATCTATCTATCTATCTATCTATCTATCTATCTATCTATCTATCTATCTATCTATCTATCTATCTATCTATCTATCTATCTATCTATCTATCTATCTATCTATCTATCTATCTATCTATCTATCTATCTATCTATCTATCTATCTATCTATCTATCTATCTATCTATCTATCTATCTATCTATCTATCTATCTATCTATCTATCTATCTATCTATCTATCTATCTATCTATCTATCTATCTATCTATCTATCTATCTAAATGAAGAATGGCCTACTGCTGTTCCTATCTTTCTATCATACATTCCTGATTCCTATACCAGTCAAGACTATCTCTACCCTCTACACCAAAACCCTGTTACAATCTGTAAATAGCTCCACGAACACAGACCCACGAGTAATCTGCGAGAAAGACAGTACAATGGAAGATGGGATTGCCGCTTTGTTTGTGGCTGTTCCATAACTGTTGCTGAGGGAGATCGATTACACAGTACATTTTGCAGGTCAACACGTCGAAAAAGTTGTAGCCACAAGCATGAACGCTGCCTTATTGCCTCGGGATCAACAAGCAATGAATTCAATACGTTTCTTTCTACCCATTCATTTTTACAGTCATAATAATTTAATTTGTGTGAGAAAGTGTTCACGTAATTGACATTAGAGACGGGCGACCACACTCGCTCTCATCTTTTGATGTCACACAAGGTCTTTGATCCATGACATGATAGTTTCCCCATGTACAGTAACATACAGATCATTACTCCCCCAGCTCGGGTCCAAATCCCTGACTGTCCAGCACCTCGGGATGTCCTCCCAACGTGAAAGGCTCTATGTAAATGTCATTTTGTATTGTATTGTATTACAGAACCGACAATAGCTGCGACTTGTTTAAGAGTACCTTTCTGCATTGGCGCTTTGTGCATTTTTTTAAAAAAACATAGTGTTTCTCTCATGCTGTTTATTCAGCTTCAAGACTTGGCCACAGGCAACCTCTGTCTTTTCAATCTCTCTCTCTCTTTCTCTCACACTCCTCCTTACACAACCCTCTCTATCAAAGGGGGAACCTTCTACTTCTGGCTGCCTGTCACTATTGAGAATGGAGCCTGGATTCTCTGCTCAATTGCAAGCTGAGGAGAGCCCTCAGTGAGATGTGATGTGCTGGCACAAAACCCTCAGCCGCCAGGAGGAGCCCAGACCAACCAGGTACAGAGTGAATCCCTCCTGTTCTGGAGCTCAATCCTGATGGCTCAGAGAGTGGGTTGGTCCAGGGAACAGCTGGAGCCACAAAGACCAGGAAGGAACCAGGGTTGATGTTCTTAACGGAGATGACATGACGCAAGAGGCATGACGTTTGGCCTCGGTGTTGCTGGCCTAGAGAGAGGAGTGTCCGGGGTACGGCGGTGGAGGAAAAACAGCGGTGGCTCCTGATCAGAGGGAACCACATGTGTGGTGTGTATGGTGTGTGTGTGATAAAGAGAGAGAGAATACCGGCCGAGATAGGGCTGGGCTCAGCTGTGAAAAACCTCCACAATCTGAACAAGGGGTTATGTTTGATGGCTCAGGGTATCATGGTATAGAGGGCAAAGTTGGGTAACTGAACTTGAGGTACATATCAGTCAAGATCTTATAGAATAGAATGATGGAACAGGCTTGAGGAGCTAAATGGTTTCCTCCTGTTTCTATGTGAGATACAGGACAATGCCCTGTGCTGACATAGCACACTGCAGAAGAGCATTAGGAGGAGGCTAACACCTTTAGGACTGGGGAGAAAAATTGGTGAAGGAAACCCATATGATATTTATTTGGTTCTGGGCGCATCTGCTGTTTGGGTTTCTCCAGCATCTTAACTCCTGTGTGCACAAACGACAGGTTCAGTTTCAATGAGAGAAACTTAATTTGCTCTTCAAATACTGCCATGGAATGTTAAACATCCATTTACATGACTTCATGCTCTTTAGTTTGTCATAACACGTGCATTTAAATACAAAACAATTTACATTTATTTAGCATATTTTACATCTTTAACCTATTTACATGGCTGGCTGGGCATCTTAGTAAGAAAAATGGTGACTGAAGAGGGAGATGACAGGAAAGATGAGCAAAAGCATGGTGAAAGAGGTAAGTCTTGAGGTGGGCTTTGAAAATGAGGAACGAGGGACAAGTCGGAGGGACTTGGAGTTGAATAGAGTTGCAGGAGCAGAACTGCATATCTATCGTCTCTTTGCAAATTTTCGCATTTAGCCATTTATGTAAGTTGGAACAAGAAAACAATGAAACATAAACTATGCTGTATATCTTTCAGTTCCATTTTGCAGACGCAGTGGACATTATGTTGATGGTGATAGGACTGATAGCCGCAGTAATTCACGGGATGTGCCTTCCACTCTTGTGTGTTGTATATGGTGACATGACCAATGGCTTTATATCTGAGGCACCTTCAAACACCTCATGTAAGAAACCTACCATTTTGTAAATATTTTTATACAACTATCTCTATTGTGGTGATCAGAGTAGAGATTATTCAAGGTAAAGAAACAACAAAACTGAAAATCTACCTTATTTATTTGATAACCTACTGATAGTAGGCAGTTTACCAATCTGGTGATCAGTTCAATTGCTGTATAATCTAACTGTAACAGGTTCAACATGGAACCTGCTGGGTTCAGTTATTGTAAGTTTTGTTATTTATCAGCCAGTATTTTATGGAGAAAATGGAGCATTGTAATTCAGTCCCATTTTGCAGCTGCAAAAATTACCATTTCTAGACAATCTTAGAGGGAAATCGACAGTAGAAATGGAAATTTGTAGTTAGAAATGAAGTTGTCGTCAGCAATTATCCTCCAGGGTAAAGGAGCATCTAGATACAGATCTATTATAAAGGTACAGGGCAGTACAAAGGCATTTTCAGATAAATTCTTAGACTTTAATACATATAGACTGGTAAACAAAACTTATTTTATCTATTAAACATCGCAAATGATACACTCCTATCTCAATACAGCGATAAACAATAGGATGGCTCAAAACACAAACATAACTGACAAAGCACTATATTTTGAGTAGAAGTGGGTGTTTGATGTGGGCAGTAATCATATCACAATCAATGCAAAATACAGGCTGACCCTATGCACAGGAAGTGCCTCTAATGGCACACTGTACAGGAAGTGATATCAGCAGCCAGAGGTGTACTGTACCACGATATAAGCAAATCCATGTTATACAGAGGGCCATTACAATAGGGTCAGCCTGTAAATAGATGTGTGCAACCTCATCTAATATCTTCCCTATCCCAATTAAGTATAACTAAATTAATAATAATAATAATTCTTGCATTTGACATAGGGCCTTATGTCTTACAGATATCCCAAAGCTCTTCATAGAATATACTGTAAAGTGAATTGACTGGATATTTTATGGGTGAAATGAAATATACATTGTGGTTATCAATGCACTGAAAGCAAAGTTAATTACTTTTTCCTGTTTTACAATTGTTCTTTTACTTCATGTCTTGCAGCAAATGAGACAAACAGTGGCAATCTCTCTTTTGTCAAACAAATGGCACAGTAAGTACTATTACATTAAGTATGTTGAAAGGGTGCATAATAATAATGCTGCATTTGATATAGCACCTTTCTTGTCAAGAGGGTATGTCAAAGTGCTTCACAGGATATATTGTAAAGCACAGTGACTATGTATTTTTATAGGCAAACACAACAATGATTGCTGTGTTTGCCTATAAATTTGTGCAAGACAATGTCCCACAACAGGAATGAACTGAATGACGAATATTTCCTGGGGGCATTGTGCTGGCCAGGATAACATAAGCAATTTTCTTCTCTTTTTGAATATTGCCACAGGATCCTTAAGATAAATAATATAATAATACTTCCATTTAATATCGGGCCTTATTACGTCTTCGAGACATTTCATAGGGCTTGACAGAACATACTGTAAAGCGAATAGACTGTATATATTGTGGGTGAAACGCAGCAGCCAATTGCGCACAGCAGTGTTTCATCCAGCCTAACAGGAAAACAGAGCCACGCTATTAAGTCTCATCCAAGGGATGGCACCTCCAAGAATGCAGCACATCTGTAGTACTACATTGGAGAATTAGCATGGATTATATGGGTTCAAATATAATAATAATAATAATAATCCTTGCATTTGATATAGCGCTTTTCACGTTGGGAGGACGTCCCAAAGCGCTTCACAGAAGACACTGTAAAGTGAATTGACTGTATATTTGTGGGCAAACGCGGCAGCCAAGTGCGCACAGCAATGTCCCACAAACAGTCGTAGATTGAAAATGACCAATTTATAATTGTTTTTGGTTTTGGAGGGATTATTATTAGGGGTGTGGAGCAAGGAAACTTGCCCAAGGTTTCGCTCTGCCTGGAACTGAACTCAGTTCTCTCGCTTGCAAAGCGAGTGCTCTAACCACTGAGCTACAGGACTCCACGATTATAATATAATGAGGAGACACAACATTCAACAAAAATATTGTACATTTCATGAGTTATAACAATTTAATTTGGAAGGGCTTAGTAAGATAAAGTAAAAAATGTAAGCTCAAAATTCTAGAGTATCATTGCTTATAGAAACTGTTTTGTACTAATATTGAAGAGAACGCAAAATTGTGGAAAATTCTCAAATAAAGTCTTAATTTGGAAGCTGATTTTTTGCAATGTTTAATAAGAGCCCATTTCCAAATTAAATCTCAATTGAAGAATTTTCCACAATTCAGCACCAACTTAATCTTAAAGACAAAATAGTCTTACAGGCCAAGACTAAAAGATATTTTGGATCTAGTCCATTCGTTAACATTAGTTTAATTCTTAGTTTTCATTCTACAACAACAACAACTTGCACTTATATAGTGCCCCTCACGCAGGGTAATGTCCCAGAGCACTTGACAGTGGCGCAGCATGACACTGAGCTGGGGGGAGGTGACCATAGGCGCGGTCGAAGCGGAACATCTTCAGGTGTAACCCGAAGATGGGCAAGAAGTGGGCAAGGCACAGTTAAAGGAAGAGTGATCCAGAATTTTGGGGTCTGGCTGAAAGCCTAAAAGCTGATGGTGGAGCGGAGGTCATGAGGGATAAGCAGGAGGTCGGAGCCAGTCGAGAAGAGGCAGAAGGTAATGAGAAGGAGAGTAAGCAGGTCGGAGAGGTAGTGAGATGCCAGGACTTGAAGGGATTCTAATGAGTAGGCAACACAAAATGAATCTGTTATTCAGTTGCCTTTGTAAAATCCAAACTAACCCATTTATAATAATAATAATCCTTGCACTTGTTATAGCACCTTATCATGTCTTCAAGACATCTCAAAGCGCTTCACATAATATACTGTAAAGTGTAGTGACTGTGATAATGTATAATGATCTTTAACAATTTATTGCCAATGTGTTAAGTACAAATTGCAGCAGCCTGGTGGCTCTGGTGAGGTTTTAGACAAGCCTATTTTCTCTGCCAAGCTGGTTTTTAATCTTTGAGGCCAGAGGCTGAGTGAGGGTGCTCCGAAACTCTGAAACACTCTTTCTCTATCCCTCCGCCTTGCCCCCTCGTTCCACATTTTCAGGTCTCGCCTGAAGACCTTCCTATTAGACTGTGCCTATGGTCACCAATCCCTGCCCCCGGCTCGGAGTCGTGCTCCACCACTGTCAAGTGGTCTGGGGCTTTTAGTCAAATGCAGCAGCCAATTTATGCACAGCAATGTCTCACAATGGCAATGAACTACATATCACTTTTGTTCCAGGTTTTCCTATTACTATCTTGGAATTGCTGGGATAGCCCTGATTTGTGGTTACATTCAAGTTTCCTTCTGGGTCCTGACTTCAGCAAGACAAACAAGAAGACTCCGAAAGGCATTTTTTCACTCAGTGCTTGGAAAAGAAATAAGTTGGTTTGACCTTAGTCCAACAGGCCAACTCAACACTCGTCTCACAGCGTAAGATTATGATTGAGTTTACAAGAGATAAATGAGCACCTTTTTACTTATCGCCTCGTTCTTGTCAATAGCAGCATTTTAATCATGTTCAAACTGACTTTTTTTAATGAACAGTGACATCAACAAGATTAATGAAGGAATTGGTGACAAGATTGGACTTTTGTTTCAGTATCTCACATCGTTCGTAGGAGGTGTAATAATTGGTTTCATAAAGGGATGGAAGCTCACATTGGTCATGTTAGCTGCTGGTCCAGCCCTCGCATTATCTGCTATGGTGTGGGCTAAGGTAAGTGCAGATGAAGTAAAACATGTCAGCCTGACTCAGTTTGTCGCACCCTCACTTTTGAAGGTGTGGGTTCAAGCACTATGTCAAGACTTTGGACTCAAAATCTAGGCTGACACTCCAATACAGCCCCAGGGATGTGCTCATTGATAGAAGTGCCACTTCAGATGAAATGTTAAACCTAGTCTGCCTGTTCAGATACCTGTTAAAAATCACATGGAACTATTTGAAAAGAGAAGAGAGTTTTTCCCAGAGTTGTGACCAACAATCCCCCAAATAAAATCAGTCATTCACTTCATAGCTGTTGTGGGAAATAGCTGAGTGCAGATTGAGTACCGTATTTTCCTACAAAGGCACAGTGAGATCCTGGGAAGTCTTTGAGTCATGTCGACTACATGATAAGAATTATTTTAATAATATGTCTCAGAAACAGTATGTAAATTTGACCATTTGGTGACCATTTGACAACCACCAACAACAACTTGCATTCATATAGTGCTCTTCATGCAGGGTTGTGTCTCATGTCTTAATTGCATCTTCTGATTTACGATTTCTGGTTTGGAACATTCGAGTTTGCAAATTGTCAATTGCAAATCAGTTAGCAAAGACCAAAAGGCAAACAAAATGTCAATGGGAAACAGTTGGCCTGTGTTACTCCTGGCTTCTCTTTTTGAATATGCCATGGGATCTTTAACATCCATCTCAACAGACAGACAGGACCTGTGTAAGCAGTTGGAAAAGACTGACAATGCAGCTTTCCTCCAGCCCTGTATTGGAATGTCAGGTTTGACTCAAAGGCTAGATATGGCCTTTGAGTCCATAACCCATAACATCTTACTCAGAAGCGAGAATGGTATTAACCAAAGCAAGTTGACACTATCAATGCAATGTGGAATAGCAACAATGTCTTTATAACTCTTAATAATTCACAGTATACATTGAATATAAAAATCATAAGCTATTAGTTATAACATTTTAGGGTTTGATTGATTCATGGCATCAGTGATAGTGTTTTTTTCTGCATATAGCTCACAGTCTCATTCACCAATTTGGAGATGACAGCCTACGCAAAAGCTGGGGCAGTTGCTGAAGAAGTGTTATCATCAATTCGAACTGTGGTTGCCTTTGGAGGACAAGACAAAGAAATTGAAAGGTCTGTAAGGTGAATGCCCATGAACCTGTACAAGTATTGGGTATTTATTATGCAATTACAAAATGTATTTTCATTCTTTCTTTACAAAAGGTACCGTAAAAATTTGCGAGAGGCAAAAAAGATAGGAGTAAAGAAGTCGATCACTATTAACCTGTCTGTTGGGTTTGCCTATTTTTTATTATTCGGATCTTATGCATTGGGATTTTGGTATGGAACCATTCTGATTCTTGGGAACACTGGATATGACATTGGAACAGTTCTCACTGTAAGTAAAATACATTAAAAAATAATACAATAATTTAATAATCCTCAATAGAGCACCTTATCATGTTGTTGAGATGTCTCAAAGTGCTTCATAGGATAGATTGTAAACCCGGATTTCACAACCTAAGGGCCACAACCCAAAATTAGGTGGCTAGAATGTTTCAGAGGATCACGAACCAGCCTAACTGTTTTTTTCTCCATTGCTGGTTGCTGGCTTTTTCCAGTGCTGGGATGTGTGTGAGAGAGAGCATGCAACCGGGATGGAGAAATGAGGCAAGAGTGGAGGTGAGGGCAGGACTACTGCGCTTGACGCTAGGCTGGGAGAGAATCCAGCAACGCGCATGCAAGGTTTTATGATGGGAAGGTCCCTAAATTTAGGAATACTTATAGAGTAAGAAAAAAACGAAATAGTGCCTATCTTTCTTTTACTGCATAAGTATTTATATTAGTACCTGATTCCCACCAACATTTATGCCATTGTAAAATGATTGTTGATGGAAGCCAGGTACAAACATAACATGGACCATGAAGCTTTTGGTCACAACACATACAGCTACTGTATGAGTGAGCTTCACTTTGAAGTTCACTCATACAGTATGTGCATGTGTAATGACTAAACTTTTAATCAAGCGAGGTGCTTAATATTCTACTGTACTGCTCAAGGAAATAAATCGGAAAGTCCTGATAGGGAGAGGGGTTATATGATAGCAATGCACAGTGAATTGTGCCTGAATGGCCACGATTGGTTCAGTGAGGAGACCCTTTTCTTAATTATATTTCTAATACTTCCTCCATCTGCATTCATTTTGTAGATTTTTTTCGCTATCATCTTTGGGACCTTCTCTATCGGCCAGACTGCACCATATTTCGAAGCATTTTCTGATGCCAGAGGAGCTGCCTTTGAAATTTATAAAATATTGGATGAGGTAATGAAGGGATTGATTTTGAAGGCTTTATTTTGTTTCGCACCTATTAGTGCAACATAATGCAGTAGATATTGGGTTTGGATTTCCTCCATTGGCTCCCTGTCACAGAGCAGATTGGTTTCAAGCACCTCACCCTTGTGTTTAAATCCCTTTATGCCCTGGCACTCTACTATGTCTTCAACCTGCTCTTTCCCTACACCACTACCCGTTGCCTTTGCTCGACCGGCTCCTGCCTCCTCCTTGTCCGGACCCACCACCCCACCATCGGCAGCCGTGCTTTCAGTCACTGTACCCCGATGCTGTGGAACTCTGTCCCTCAATCCCCGCTCTCCCCATTTTCAGGTTACATTTGAAGATCTTCCTCTTTGACCGTGTTTATGGTCACCTTCCGACTCCCCCTGACTCGACATCAGGCTCCACCACCATTAATCACTACGAGACACTAGCCAATATGAAGGGCACTATATAAATGCAAGTTATTGTTGTTGGTGGTGGTGGGAGTTCTGAAAGGATGAGAACAGATTGGCTGAAGGACCTTTTTCATCCAAGCCAATCTTCTGTGCTTATGGCATCTTGATTTCAATTCTCTGATAATGCAATAATCTCCTAACATTGCAATGGAATGTCAGCCTAGACTCCACATTTTGCATCAATTCCATTATAAACAAAATACTGTTCATTCCCCCGTTGACCTTTTTCATATCTTCCTTTCAGAAATCTGCCATGGATAGTTTTTCAGAAGAAGGGTATAAGCCCGAATACATCAAAGGAACAGTGGAATTTAAGGATGTATACTTCAACTATCCATCACGACCAGATGTGGAGGTATTGAGAGGAGAATATTTGATATCACAAATAGTAAAGTAGGATTAAAAACAAATCAGTTCAATATTACAGAAGCTTCTTATTTGACTCCCAATAATACCAAAACCCTAAGAGGTAGGGGTAGTCCCAACAGGAAAACCGTTAGGAAGGTTGCCAGTGTTTGTGATGACATGTTTTTAGTTGGTTTGAGTAACCCCGGTGCATACTCCAGGATCCCCAAAGCCAGGCGTTGCCAACCTGCAGCTAAAACTTTCCAGAATAAAGTGAGGAGATTGTGTTTCTCTGGGGAGAAATTATGCACTCCATTCTACACAAATGGAAATATGAGAGGGCTCTCAGTAGTTCAGTGCGGGTACTCATGCCTCTGTGCGTGTCCCACACCTGGCTGACCGGGAAAAAAAATGTCTATTTATAATAACTCTTTAAAGATGACTTCAGCTCTTGATAAATACTTGGAATTGCTCTCAATCTTTCACTAGATTCTGAGAGGTATAAATCTGAAGGTTGAGAGTGGACAAACGTTGGCTTTGGTGGGAAGCAGTGGTTGTGGAAAAAGCACTACTGTTCAACTGCTGCAGAGATTTTACGATCCCCTTCAAGGAATGGTAAGTAGGTCTCACGAAAGAGAAACACCCTGCACAGTGTTCTCAAGGAACTCTGAAACAACAGCATCAACAAAATTACAACTGTATGGCGCCTTTCACATCAAAAGGATGACCCAGCCAGCTGAAAAGTCAGTGTTTCGGACCTGAGCTGGGGATCGGGATCAGGGAGGGTGGAGGGCAGGGGGAAAGGAGGATTATCGAAGGCAGGGTCGAAGAGGAGGGTCTGAAAGATCAATTTGAAGACTGATCGACCGCCTTATAAGTATGGAACAAACTGAGTTAGTGGTAGCGAACAGCGCACATTAAGGGCCACAGTGAATGGGTGGCACAATAAATCAGATTACAGCAACTAGAAGAATTAATGAGATGCATGAAACATTGTGAAATTCTCACATCTCATTCAGCTGCTGACTGGCGGATAGTATTCGTGATCACATAAGGTTTTCAGCTAACTATAATAATAATCATTGCATTTGATATAGTGCCTTATCATGTCATTGATACATCTCAAAGCGGCTTCACAGAATATATTGTAAAGTTAATTGACTGTGTATTTTGCGGATGAAAGGCAGAAGGAAGTCAATTGTGCAAAGCGTTGTCCCACAAATAGTCGTGGTTTTTTTTTGACAGCATTATTATCCCCAGAAAGTGATCCACTGATCAGCTAACAATCCGGTTCCAGGTCAACAAAATGTAAAATTTTAGTACATAAACAACATTTAATGCTAATGATACACATGATCAAAGATTGTAGTTGCAGAGTTCAGACCAAGATTGTACATTGAACAAGCTTCGCTTTCTGCCAATTTTTCTCCTTCAGTTTCCTTTCCTCCTCTACTCCTGAAGGTGTTTGGCTCCATGTTTCTTCTGCTGTCTCCACTTGTTGCCTCTAATGGTTTCTTCTCCAGCCCCCACACTATCAAGTCTGGCATCCCCCAGGGCTCTGTCCTTGGCCCTCTCCTCTTTAATATCTATATGCTCCCCCTTGGTGACATCATCCGCAGACATGGGGTCAACTTCCATATGTATGCGGATGACATCCAATTCTATCTTTCTGCCTCCACCCTCAACTCCAGGACCACTGCTGTCCTGACAGACTGCCTATCGAACATCGAGTCCTGGATGAGGGCAAATTTCCTACAGTTGAATGTAAACAAGACTGAGACCCTCCTGATTGGTTCGCGCCAGCGGCTCAGCACCTCAGGCTCTGAAAGCATCAACCTCCATGGTTGCACACTGCAACTCACCAAGCCAGGCAGGAACCTCGGTGTCTTGTTCGACCCTCAACTTTCTTTTCTCCCCCACATTCAAGCTATGACCCGCTCTGCCTTCCCACACCTCCATAACATCACCCAACTCTGCCACTACCTCACCCTCAGGCCACTGAAACTCTTGTTCATGCCTTCATCACTTCCAGGCTCGACTATGCAAACGCCCTGCTTGTCAGCCTTCCTCCTCCCTCCACAGGCTGCAGATAATCCAGAACTCTGCAACCCGTGTCCTCTCCCGCACTAAACCCCATGACCCCATCTCCCCCATTCTCCCCCGACTCAATTGGCTCCCTATCCTTCAGAGGATCCAGTTCAAGATCCTGGTCCTCACCTACAAATCCCTCCATGGCATCGCCCCACCCTACCTCTGTGAACTCCTAACTCCCTACTAACCTACCTGCTCCCTCCGCTCAGCTGGCTCCGGCTTGCTCCACATCCCCCAACCCACCCACCCTACCATTGGCGGGAGAGTCTTCAGCCACTCTGCCCCCAACCTCTGGAATTCCATCCCCCAATCACTCCACCTCACCCCCTCCTTAGCCTCCTTCAAGTCCCGCCTCAAAATCCTCCTCTTCAACCATGGGAAGGAGGAAGTCGCCCCCCTTCCCCTCCCCTGCCCTCTCTCTTCCTAACCCCAGTTCGGGTCTGAAATGCTGTACACTGTCCAGGGCCTTGGGACGTCCTCCCGCCGTGAAAGGCGCTATACAAATCTAATCTTGTTGTTGTTGCTGGGATACTTTTCCTCTGGTTCTTTGCCCAAGTGGCCTTTGCTCATGCCAATGTTGGATATCAACTGAACACTAGTTCTGTTTTATTGAGTTAAGATGTTTTTTCTCTTAACTAGCGCTCTATCACAAACCAATAAGTCCAATGGGAGCATGAATACCTCAGAGTTCAACCATTGTCCATTAAATCATTACCTGCATTATAATGGGGAGGCCACGAGAATCGGTTTCAATCATGAAAGAGCTCCACATGTCATTCACGCTATAAGTGAGCCCGTGTTATAAACCTACTGCACTATTTGGTTTGCTTAAAGTCTGTTTAGTACAGCATAGTAGAAATAACTTGACTTCTCTTTTGTTACCAGATCACAATTGATGGACATGATATACGGTCACTAAACATCAGACATTTTCGAAGGTTCATTGGTGTGGTCAGCCAGGAGCCTGTGCTGTTCGCTACAAGCATTGCTGAAAACATTCGTTATGGAGATGAAGATGTAACAGATGAAGAAATTGAGAAAGCTGCTAAAGAAGCAAATGCTTATGATTTTATTGTGAAACTTCCCGAAGTAAGTGAAATTTCTTTCTTTGGGAAGAAATTCCTGATTCACTCTATTTACATTTCAGAGCATCCAAAATTGGCAAGTTCTTGAATACAACCTTGATTTTTCAGGCATATTTTCTGTAGGTTATTTTTGGAATGATACAAAACTAACTTCAGACGTAAGACTGAATTCAACAAGTTGCCAAATTTAGGTTGTTCTGAAATCCAAATAGAGTAAATCTAAACTCAGGTGGATTTTCTCTACATTTGTCATCGAGACAAAATGTTTGGCTAAACAGTTTACAGAGGCATGACTCTTTGCTGAAAATTACACTGAAGTGATCACTGGTATCAATTCAGAGGCACACTTGATATTTATCACATCAACCTCAGGGTCCAGAGTTTAATATAATTTAATCCCAATGGTATTGTCCATGAAACCAGGTTCATTGCTTTGGGCTTGAAGCTTGTTGATCATAATATTCAACTAACAGAGAGTGGAATTATTTTGGTTTTATTACCAAAATAATTTAGAATTCTGGCTATTTAAGCAAATCTGTGAACAGGAAGTTCAATGTTACATGCAGACCCGGATCACGGAGTGAGTGCAGGCAAATTCTTAAGTAGGAAATCTGATGCCAATTAAGACAGTAACACAATGCAGAATTCCTTAAAGTGATCCTACTGTTGGTTAAGACAAGAAACATTCAAGAAATCCTGCAACTTTTCCCCAATAATCTCAAAGCGATTCATATGATGTTACTGTGTATTGGTAGGCAAACCCAGCAACTGATTTGAAAACAGCAATATCCTACAAACAGCTACAAAGTAAATTTCATCTGGGGGATTGTTAGCTAGGACACCAAGAGTAATTCCTTCTCTTTTTGAGTAGTGCCATAGCATCCACCTGAACAGACAAGACTTTGGATCAACGTTCATCTGAAGAATGGTACCTCTGACAATGCAGTGCTCTACTGCCATTGAGTATCAAAAGGCCTGTGAGTCTTGATAAAGTCAATTGGGAGAAATTATTTCCACAGGTCGATGAATCAATGAGTAGAGGCATCAATTTAAGATAATTACAGATCCCATGGCACTATTCAAAAAAAGAAGAGAGTTCACCTGTGAAGCGCTTTGAGGTGTCTCAATGACATGATAAGGCGCTATATCAAATGTGAATATTATTATTATAATTTGCAGGGGTATAAAAAAGGCAGGTAATTGGAACTAAATGAATTGCTCTAAATGGATTGCTCTTACAAAGAGACAGCATAAATATTATGGGCCAAATGGCAACCTTCAGGTTTTTAAATTTTCTGTACTATTTTTGAGATCACTACTACTATACTGTGAATGTCTCACGAATGAAGAGTCAACTTTTTTTCACAAGTGTACATTTTGTTTTAGGCATTCCACACACTCGTTGGGCAAAGAGGAACACAGCTGAGTGGAGGTCAGAAACAAAGGATTGCTATCGCTCGTGCTCTAGTGCGTAACCCCAAGATTCTCTTGTTAGATGAGGCCACATCTGCCCTGGACACTGAGAGTGAAGTTATAGTCCAAAGTGCATTAGATAAGGTACAAGCAAATTTTACTTATGACGCATAACAATTTTATATCAAAAACTGCCTTGATGCTGTTCTATAGCACATGGTGATTAATCTTTAATCTTTTAAGTAGTCTGTGTATTTTGTAGGCAATTGCCAATGTACCAGCTTGTTCTACCTCACCCCCTGCTCTATTTTCACAGGCCAGTAAAGGACGAACTACAATTGTGATTGCTCACCGCTTGTCCACAATCAGGACTGCAGATAAGATAGCAAGCTTTCAAAATGGTGTTTTAATGGAAGAAGGGACACATGCAGAATTGATGCAGAAAAATGGAGTTTATCACTCACTTGTAACAGCCCAGGTACCAAAGTATTATTGACATTAACACAATGTGAATGATGCAGCCAGAAATACAATGCAAATGACATTTGTTTATTGTCCTTCATGTCCCAAGGACGACTGAAAACGCTTAACACTGCAGATTCGGAACCCAAGTCTAGGGGGTAGGAGCTGAAGAGTGGGGGAGGGACAGATGAGCAAAATCACAGTCAAAGAATTAGGTCAAGGCAGATTTTGAAAGTGGAGAGGAGCGGCAAGTGAGAAGGACTCTGGGATGGAGTTCTAAAAAACAGGGTCAGAATTGTTAAAAGCTCACCCGCGAATAGGCGGGGGACATGAAGCAGGTCAGTGTTTGATAAACAAAAGCAGCTGGTTCGACGGGCTTGTAGGAGGTCACAGACTTGGGTGATGTGATAAGAAGGTAGGCATCTGCTCCTCAAGTTCCATGCATCCAACTGGCGTGGATGCTCCAATGCTCAAAAGGTAGGGATGCATGTCCAATTTGTGGGCAGGATGATGGTGCCAATGCTGAGCTGTGTTGCCCATCAGGAAGCTCACAGAGAATTTCTGGTAATTTCTGTACCTACTGACTGCTGCTCCCAGCTATGCTTGTCATATATCAGCTGATATATAGCAGATGTGTTGCGAAAAGCATTAGAATAACTCATCATGCCCTTGGTTATTTCCTAAAAGGCATTTAAAAACACAGAAGAAACAGAAGCTGAAAGTGCAACTGAAATCGATGTAGTTGATGAACCTCTCCGAGTAAGGGCCTATTCCAAGAATTCAAGTATTAAAAGCATTTCTAAGCTGGAGAGGGACATGTCGATTGAAGAGATGGAGGAGCCAAAGGTAATGCAAGTTTCAGTTCAGAATTGCTCTCAGTTTTTTAAGGACGGAAAATCTAAATACCTGGTCTGTTTGATCAATTTCTTTTCATCAACCAAATTTGTTCGTTTATTTATTTATTTATTTGTTAAAAAGTATTAGAAAGATGATGGGGAAAAAACAATACTGTATTAGAGGTTATGGGCTGGACCAATAGAAAAGTGCGGTCACACATTCCCTGCAGAATCCGCCATAAACACCCCACTACACTACACTACAAACCCGCTATAAGTGTAAACAAAAGACAAAATACTGCAGCTGCTGGAAATCTGAAAACAAAAACAGAAGTCGCTGGGAACACTCAGCAGGTCAGGCAGCATCTAGCAAGAAAGGAAAGTGAGTCAAAGTGCCTCCCGCTCTTTGTTAGCCCTTAAAAGCCTCTCCCTCCCAATGTGCCCCAGTTTTAACGAAGGGTCGTGGACCCGAAAAGTTGACTCACTTTCCTTTCTCCATAGATGCTGCCTGACCGCCTGAGTGTTCCCAGCGACTTCTGTTTTTGTTTTCCGCTATAAATGTAGTTTCTGGCCTGCGGGCCACTCGCTGGTTACCTGGCGTCACAGTGGGCAGAGACACTCCTGACTCGCATGCGCCGGTGCGGCTCAAGCAGCAAATGGGCTTCACTCAGAGGATCCGCTGATATGATTGTGATTCTGTGTCTGTGATTGTGTGACTGTGATTATGTGTGTGTGTGTGTCTGTGATTGTGAGTGTCTGTGATTGTGTCTGTGATTGTGAGTGTCTGTGATTGTGAGTGTCTGTGATTGTGAGTGTCTGTGATTGTGTGTGTCTGTGATTGTGTGTGTCTGTGTGTGTGTCTGTGATTGTGAGTGTCTGTGATTGTGAGTGTCTGTGATTGTGAGTGTCTGTGATTGTGTGTGTCTGTGATTGTGTGTGTCTGTGATTGTGAGTGTTTGTGTGTGTGTCTGTAATGTGAGTGTCTGTGATTGTTTGTGTCTGTGTGTATCTCTCTATATTTGATTGAGTGTCTGTGTGTCTCTCTCTGTGTGATTGAGAGTTTGTGTGTGTCTCTCTCTATGTGATTGAGTGTCTGTGTGTGTCTCTCTCTAAGTTTGTGAGTGTGTGTGTGTCAACCTACCTGGGCTCTCCCTCAGACTCACCGAACCAGTGCACAACCTAGGCATCCAGTTTCACCCCCAGCTGTCCTTCCTCTCCCACATCCACTCCCTGACCAGAAAACCGCCTTCTTCCACCTCCACCACATTGCCCGCCTCCAACCGAACCTTATCCCAAATGCCACCAAAATCCTTGTGCATGAGTTTGTCACCTCCTGCTTGGATTACTCCAACCCACTCCTTGCCGTTCTCCCCAGCTCCACCATTGACAAGATCCAGCTTATTCAAAACTCTGCCACCCGCATACTGACCCGGACCAAACGCCTTACCCACATCTGACCAGTTCTAGCCAGGCTCCACTGGCTCCTCATCGCCAAACGGATCGACTTCAAGATCCTCACACTTGTGTTCAAATCTGTATCTGTGAGTGTGTGTCTCTCTCTGTGTCTGTGAGTGTGTGTCTCTCTCTGTGTCTGTGAGTGTGTGTGTCTCTCTCTCTGGGCCTCTGAGTGTGTGTCTCTCTCTGGGTCTGTGTGTATTGCCAGCTCCGAGAGGCAGGAGAAGGTGAGCTCCTACGGTTGAGCTGGTATCCCCCCATCCCGTGCCCTCCAAAAAAAAGGGTCACCCAGATTATGTAGAAGAAGTCATTAATATTTCACATCAATCTAATATGTGTTAATTTCTTATGTTTAATTTTTATCAATAAAGTGAAAAAATGTAGGTTGGCAGTAAAATGTACCTCAATAGCACCAATCAACTACCTGCAATTTTCTGCAAAGCACGGCAAAATTTTCCACGCACTTTCCCCAAATCTCCCTGCAATTTCTGGCCAATATTTCCGCACTTTTCTATTGGCCCAGGTTATGGGATGTGAGAAAGAGAATAGGATTGGATTAGATGCTGATATGAGGGAGAAGGGAACAGATAGGTTTGGAAGGAAGATTAGAAGGGATAGTGGCTATAATTATGAAGTTTAAACATTCATTATTTGGGCTGAGTGGCCTGTTTCTGTACTGTAATTTCTACATAATTCTATGTAGTTGGCTCATGTGGAGAAATACACCAGCACAGACTTGATGGGCCAAACAACCTGTTTCTGCATTATAGCATTTTACGATTCTATCATTCCCTTATTCATAACTAGCTGGACCGACTCTGCCACAACCTCACCCCTCAGGCCGCTGAAACTCTTGTTCATGCCTTCATCCCCTCCAGGCTTGACTATGCAAACGCCCTGCTTGTCAGTCTTCCCAACTACTCCCTCCACAGGGTGCAGATAATCCAGAACTCTGCAGCCTATGTCCTCTTCCGCACTAAATTCCGTGACTCCATCTCCCCCACTCTCGCCCGAATCCATTGGCTCCCTGTCCTTCAGAGGATCCAGTTCAAGATCCTGGTCCTCACCTACAAAGCCCTCTATGGCCTCGCCATACCAACCCGCCGTTCCCTCCACTCAGCCGGCTCCGGCCTGCTCCACGTCCCCCGACCCACCCGCCCCACCATTGGCGGGAGAGCCTTCAGCCACTCTATAATAATAATAATAATCCTTGCATTTGATATAGCGCTTTTCACGTCGGGAGGACGTCCCAAAGCGCTTCACAGAACACACTGTAAAGTGAATTGACTGTATATATTTTTTTGTGGGTGAACGCGACAGCCAGTTGCGCACAGCAATGTCCCACAAACAGTCATAGATTGAAAATGACCAATTTATTATTGTTTTTTGTTTTGGAGGGATTATTATTAGGCGTGTGGAGTGAGGAAACTTGCCCAAGGTTTCGTCCTGCCTGGAATTGAACTCAGGTCTCTCGCTTGCAAAGCGAGTGCTCTAACCACTGAGCTACAGGACTTCACTCTGCCCCCAACCTCTGGAATTCCATCCCCCAATCACTCCGCCTCGTCCCCTCCTTAGTTTCCTTCAAGTCCCGCCTCAAGACCCTCCTCTTCGACCATGCCATTGGCCACCCCCTTTCCCCTTCCCTCCCTTCCCCCCCCCGACCCTGCTCGGGTCTGAAATGCTGTACTCTGTCCAGCGCCTTGGGACGTCCTCCCGACGTGAAAGGCGCTATACAAATTTAATCTTGTTGTTGTTGTTGTAGTATCTGTTGCAGCTCCATTTGCAACCAAATGATCCAACATGGAATGTAGATTTCAGTGATACTACTCACAAACCATTTAACATGCCATAAACACCTTAAGCAAAACTGCCATAGATGTGTGATGAACTTGTTTAGGTCATAGCTCAACGATTGAAGATTCTATAAAGAGTCATGAATGATAAATCTTATTAAAGCTACGCTAACTGAAGGGGTTTACTGCGTGATTCGGCGGGTCCTCAAATTATTGCAATGCTTCCGTGTAGACAACATTTGCAGTTTTTCCTCCTTCGACTACGATATACCGGTTTTGAGATGAACCCACACATGAGCACCGAACATGGAATTGTCCTTGGAAAAAGCAGGGTGTATTCACGAAAAGGCCAGCAATCTGCCCCTGTGCCTTATTAATTGACATGGCAAAGCACATTTCAACAGGAATTTGGAGCCTTTTGAACTCAAACACGTAATCACTTGGGAACAGTGGGATGCGAAGAATGAATATATCTTCCCCTTTGAACTGACCAGTCAGAATAGTTGCTTCTATAACATGTGTTATCAACTGCTTTACCACCAACTTTGTGCCATTACATAGCTTTGGTGCATCTAGATTCCTCAGCAGCATGATTATGCATCCAACTTTCAGTATGAGTTTGTGCGCTGGCATACTGGATTGCTCTGAAGCATTTTAAAATTCAGTTGGGTAGTTGACAGCATTTTTTTGATGTAGGAACAGTATCCATATGCACAGTTTCTTGGCCAGGGATATCTTTCAGTAGCTGGGAATTGATCTCACTGGCAGACTCATTTTTTGGAGCAAGGATTGCTTATTGACACAACCACTTATGATTTGTGTAGTTATGGCTAAGATTCCAGAAAACTTTGTTTTTAAGTTCTCCCATAACTTGTGCAATGGTCCCACAAACTTCGGGGATTGGAATTTGGCCACCTGTTGGATCCACTGGAACTTTCCATCCCCAATTTTCAGAAGGAGGTTGGCAAATGCCCAGCTGCAGAACTACCATGAACATGGACTAGCATGTTTGACCTGAGGCTCATCTTCTAAACACATTCCCACAGCCTGGAAGCCTAAAGACTGGCATTCAGTTCATCAGCACGGGTACCACATTGTATGACAGGTAGTGTTTGGCGAAGTCTCCCGACAAAATAAGGGTCATCGCTCCCCTCGTCTGGGTGTTTTCCCTGATTCCAATTTGGATTTATACAGTGCCCAAAACACAAAATACTGCAGATGCTGGAATCTGAAGCAAAAACAGAGAAAGCTAGGAAAATTCAACAGGTTAGGCAGCATCTATAGAGGAAGGAAAGTGAGTCAACGTTTCGGGTCCATGACCCTTCGTCAGAACCATTGAACCAACAAGTGCAATTTGGCCCCTGGACCGAAACTTGGCCAAGATGAGATTGATGAAGTTTGTTTTGCCTGTGCATCAAGAAAGATAATACCTCCTTTGTCATGGTCAACTTTATGAAGGATACTCTGAAACGCTGCAGCTTGATCTTCTGTCGATTCTCTCTCCTGGACAAAGTGCTGCATTTCATCTTGGTTATAATTAACTTCCCGCACAATTTCTCTGGCCAAGGTGACATCTTCTGTTCTGTGAGTACAGGGCAGACCGTACTGTAGCAATGTCTTTCCCCCAATGCCATTAACTTGTCTTCTAAGTGTATGAGGCCTGGTTGAAGATGGCATCACTGTAGCCCAACTCAGTTTGTGGATTTGCACTACGTAGCTGATGGAAAACATCTTCTGACATGTTTTCTTTGTGGTTATTCCACAGCTGTCTTGGATTAGACAGATCACAGGTGTGCAGTGTGATGGCAAACAGATCCCTCAGTCTGATAGTAGACCGTGCCATGGCTGCTTCTTCTCATGTCTGGCTTCTGTGGGCATCGTCTTCTCAAAGATCCCTCAGTGGCATGCTTCTCACAGACTTTGTCATCAATAGTTGTAAGAACCTTATAGCTTGTTGGGCCTCTCACAGTGTCCAGCAAAAGCCTTAGGAAGAAGCATTCAAAGTTGTTTGGATGCACTGTGTACACTCTGCCAAATGCTTCACTGGACTTGACTCATAGTTAACCTTCAACAGGAGTAACTCAAATTCTTCACTTCCACTTCTTGGTCTGGGATTTCCATGTGAAATACTCTGGGACTTCACAGTAGAGAAGGATTCTTGCAAACTCAAATAGTTCAAAGAATGCAGTTAGCATGGTTTTGGGAGGTTCAAGTAATAATAATAATAATAATCCTTGCATTTGATATAGCGCTTTTCATGTCTTTGAGATGTCTCGAAGCGCTTCACAGAATATGCTGTAAAGTGAATTGGCTGTATATCTGTGGGCAAAACGTGGCAGCCAATTGCACACAGCAGTATCACACAAACAGTCGTGGATTGAAAATGACCAATTTATTATTGTTTTGTTCTGGAGGGATTATTATTAGGTGTGTGGAGTAAGGAAACTTGCCCAAGGTTTCGTCCTGCCTGGAATTGAACCCAGGTGTCTCGCTTGCAAGGCGAGTGCTCTAACCACTGAGCTACAGGACTCCACAATGAGAACATTTCCAAACATTTGCTTCTGTAAAAAACACCCTTTGGCTGTTTTCAAGGTGAACCTGAAGGTGTTGGACCACTGGATGTCGATCATATATGTGGAAGTCCAAAGCTCTCCAGATTGCTTCGTTGGTGCTCACATATGACCCATCTGGTATTATGTTACCTCATCTCGTCAGGTTTCCTCCCTCTCCCGAGTCCAAATACAGCTATGTTAGTGACCAACTTAGGGAGATTAACATCAGTAAAGAATTAGTACTAGCGAAACTGTTGGGATTGAAAAATGACAAATCTGATGGCCAAAATTCTCTGAATTCTGGAACGGTTCCCATTGATTGGAAGATTGCAAATGTAGCATCACTATTTAAGAAGGGTGGTAGAGAGAAGATGGGGATCTATAGACCAGTCAGTCTTGACATCGGTGGAAGGGAAAATTCTAGAATCCTTAATTAGGGACGTTGTTGTGGGGATTTAGACATAACATGATTAGGCAGAGTCAACATGGCTTTACAAAAGGGAAATCATGCTTAACAAATCTTTTAATTTTTTGAGGATGTAACTAGCAGGTTAGATAGAGGGGAACCAGTAGATGTAGTATATTTAGATTTTCAGAAGGCGTTCGACAAGGTCCCACATAAAAGGCTGCTACACAAGATTAGGGCCCATGGAATTAAAGGCAATATATTAGCATGGATCGAAGAGTGGCTAACGGGAAGGAAACAGAGAGTAGGGATAAACGGGTCCTTCTCAGATTGGCAGGATGTGACTAGTGTAGTGCCACAAGGATCAGTGCTTGGGCACTCAAATAAAGTGTGAAGTTATCCACCTAGGTAGTAAAAACAGAAAACCAGTTTATTTTCCAGAAGGGGAGAGACCAGATAGTGTTCATTTTCAGAGGGATTTGGGTGTCCTTGTACACCAGTCACAAGAAGTTAGTATGCAGGTACAGCAAGCAATCAGAAAGGCTAATGGGATGTTGGCGTTGATTGCAAAAGGATTAGATTACCAGAGTAGGGAAGTCTTGCTGCAACTTTATAGGGTCTTGGTGAGACCGCACCTAGAATATTATGTGCAGTTTTGGTCTCCTTATTTAAGAAAAGACATACTCGCCTTAGAGAGGGTGCAGCGTGGATTCACTAGGTTAGTTCCTGGGATGAGGGGTTGACCTATGAGGATAGGTTGAGTAAACTAGGCCTATATTCTCTAGAATAGAGAATTAGGGGTGATCTTATAGAAACATATAAGATTCTTATGGGCTGGACAGAATAGACAGTGCAAGACTATTTCTGCTGGTAGGAAAATCTATAACTACAACAACAACAACTTAGATTTATATAGTGCCCTCCACGCCGGACGGCATCTCAGAGCACTTTACAATAACGGATCCCGGGACCGAGCCAGGGGGAGGGGGAGGAAGGTGGCCAAAGGCGCAGTCGAAAGAAAGATCTTCAGAGGAGACCTGAAAATGGGAAGGGAGTGAGCGAGACAAAGGGAGTGAGGAAGGCAGTTCCAGAGCCTCGGGGCATAGTGGCTGAAGGCACGGCCACCGAGGGTGGAGCGGAGGACTCGGGGCCGAGGAGGAGGCCAGACCCGGAGGAACGAAGGCAACGAGTACTGTTTTGAGGAGAGAGGAGGTCAGAGAGGTAGGGGGATGCAGAGGAGTGCAGGGACTTGAATACAAGGGTGAGGATCTTGAAATCGATCCTCTCTGGAATAGGCAGCCAGTGCAGTCTGGTAAGGACTGGGGTGATCGGGGAGCAAAGTTTTGTACAGGTGAGAATGCGGGCGGCAGAGTTCTGAATGATTTGGATTTTATGGATGGTAGTGGATGGGAGACCGGCGAGGAGAGCATTAGAGTAGTCCAGACGAGAGGTGACAAAGGCATGGACCAGGGTTTCAGCGGCTTTTGGGGAGAGGTATTGGCAGAGACGAGCGATGTGTCGGAGGTGGAAGGAAGCGGTGCTGGTGAGGGACCGGATGTGGGGGAGGAAGGAAAATTGGGGGTTGAACCTGATGCCTAGGTTGTGTACGGGTTCGGAGAGTTTTAGGGGGAGGTCGGGTAGGTGGAGGAGGTGAGAACCGTGAGATTTTAGACGCTGATGAGAGCCAAACAGTATGTCAACGTTCAGCTGAAGGAAGTTTGCGCTCATCCAGCCCCTGAGATCTGACAGGCAGGCTGACAGAATATCAGGGGAATACTCAAGACGGAGATTGATAGGTTTCTAAAGGATAGAGGGATTAAGGGATATGGGAATAAGGCGAGCAAATGGAAGCAGGTTAGAAGATCAGCCATGATCTTATTGAATGGCGGGGCAGGCTCGAGGGGCCGAATGGCTTACTCCTGCTCCTAATTCCTAAATTCCTATGAAGCTCCTTGGATATTGCTTTGAGCAGGAGCCATATTTATGCAGGGAGATTTTCTGTTGAATTGTCCACATGGTCCATGAATCATGTGTTTCTTTATGATTTCAAAGAGCACAAGGTCTCGGTCTGAGTTTGACAGTTCTGTAGAGATTACATTGGCGATTTGGTTAAGCCATTTTTTTCGATTAACCGAGGAAGAATATGTGCATGAAGAAGACCACGCTTTTGCTAATCAATGGTGTAGAGGTAACAACAGACTTTGCTAAAGACATGATTTTGGTGATAAGCTCCATCAGTTTAAGAAATTTGAGGTCTTTGTAAGATCTTTCTGATGAGGTATAAATCATGTCTCTTCATCAATTGGTAATTGAGATCTTGGCTGATGCACATGCACACACAGACATTGTTGTTTTATTGGTAGAGATAGTTTATAACTATTCCTTCAGTGATTTGCAAATATCCTATGGCATGGATGTGTGCTTACTTATTTTCTTAATTTTATTTTAGGATGAAGAAAAGCTTGCAGACGTCTCACTGCTAAAACTTTTTAAACTGAATAAATCTGAATGGCCATACATTGCCATAGGAATAATAGGTGCAACGATCAATGGAGGAATTCACCCAGCCTTTGCTGTTTTATTTGCAAAGATCATTACTGTAAGTATGACATGACTTTTTATAATGTTCACTTTAACTTTAAGTAATAGTTAGCCAAAATACCCATGTAGGCATCAGCCTGATTCAATTGGTAATACCCTTGCCTCCAGGTTAGAAGGTTGTGGGCTCAAGCCCAACAATGTATCTCTTCCCCAGCACTGCATTGGAATGTCAGCCGAGACTATATGAGTTAAAGTCCCAATGTGGAGCTGCAACCCACAACCTCAGAGTTGAGAGTGCTACAAACTGAGCCTGGTTGACACATTAACAACAACAACAGAACAGGATTACATTTGTATAGCGCCTTTCATGTCGGAAGAACATCCCAAGACGCTGGACATTGTACAGCATTTCAGACCCGAGATGGGGTCAGGGGGGGAGAAGGGAGGGGAAGGGTGGTGGCCGATGGCATGGTTAAAGAGGAGGTTCTTGAGGCGGGACTTGAAGGAGGCTAAGGAGGTGGTGAGGCAGAGTGATTGAGGGATGGAATTCCAGAGGTTGGGGGCAGAGTGACTGGAAGCTCTCTTGCCAATGTGGGGTGGGTGGATCGGGGGACGTGGAGCAGGCCAGAGCCGGCTGAGCGGAGGGAGCGGGTGGGTTGGTAGGCATTAGGAGGTCGCAGAGGTAGGGAGGGTTTTGTAGGTGAGGACCAGGATCTTGAACTGGATCCTCTGAAGGATAGGGAGCCAATGGAGTCGGGCGAGAATGGGTAGATGGGGTCATGGAGTTTGGTGCGGGAGAGGACATGGGCTGCCGAGTTCTGGATTATCTGCAGCCTGTGGAGGGAGGAGTTGGGAAGGCCGACAAGCAGGGCATTTGCATAGTCGAGCCTGGAGGTAATCAAGGCATGAACAAGAGTTTCAGTGGCCTGAGGGGAGAGGTAGTGGTGGAGTCGAGTGATGTTATGGAGGTGTTAAGAGAACTAGAGCAGTGTGGTCCAACAGGAGGCACGCTGGCCCCTGGGAGGAAGAATAAATCCAGACAGATTTGTTTGGGGAGAGGTTACCAGAATATCAAGGGATTGATCCCTTGTCCCTCCTAATCCCTACTTCACCCCTTTCAGATATTTCCACTAATAAAGTAGTCGTTATTATAAGTCAACTTATTTTTATTCAGGTCGTTAACAGTTTTATGTTCCCAAGATTGACTACATGCATTTTTGTTCCAGATCTTCACTGGTACTGATCCAGACGTGATAAAAAAAAATGCTGATCTTTATTGTATCCTGTTCTTTGTCATTGGTATCATTTCCTTTTTTACATATTTCTTACAAGTAAGTTTCTGAAGCATGTCGTGAATAAAACAGCTCAGCATCCTGCTATACTGCAATATGGAGCAGGAAGCTGGGTTTATTTTGCCTATCCCACATTGATTTCAATTGGGAGCAGCAAAAAAAAACTAAATTTTAGTGTTTTTCTCATCCACCAAAACAAGTGCTTTTCATTTATGTTTTCGAACAAGGATTTTTTTTTGTGTGTGATCCTTCGGTTAGTATGAGGACTTTGAACTAATAGTTTACATTTGGGTCATCAACACTGGGCATATTCATACTTACATAGCTATGAATTGAATTGTTCCTGAAAAGGGTTCCTCCAGTATGCACCTGCATAATATTGATGTATCTATTACTGGCCTTGAAGAGGTAAAATTAAAGTTTGCAGAAATTAAACAATCTTAATCCTTGCAGTTAATATTGCGCATTTTATGTTGGGAGTGTGTCCCAAAGGGCTTCATAGGATAAAGTGTAGTGGTTGGGTATGTTATAGGTGAATGCAGCAGTCAATTTGTGCAGAGCAATGTCCCACAAACATGAAGTGAAAAAAAACAATTTGATTTTGTTCTTGTGACTCCTATGACTAATACTGTATGTGAGGAGGCAGGGATTAGGATTAGCATTTGCATCACATTCGGAGAACTCAGGTGTGTCAGCCTGGCTCAGTTGTTGACACCCTTAATAATAATAATAATCCTTGCATTTGATATAGCGCTTTTCACGTCGGGAGGACGTCCCAAAGCGCTTCACAGAAGACACTGTAAAGTGAATTGACTGTATATTTGTGGGCGAACACGGCAGCCATTGCGCACAGCAATGTCCCACAAACAGTTGTAGATTGAAAATGACCAATTTATTATTGTTTTTGGTTTTGGAGGGATTATTATTAGGCGTGTGGAGTAAGGAAACTTGCCCAAGGTTTTGCCCTGCCTGGAATTGAACTCAGGTCTCTTGCTTGCAAAGTGAGTGCTCTAACCACTGAGCTACAGGACTCCAGGACCCTTGCCTCTAAGTCAGAAGGCTGTGGGTTAATACCTCACATCAGGATTTGGAAATCATAAGTCTAAGAAGGATGATCCAACAGGCAGCCCACAGGCCGCTTCCAGCCCAGTAGATGATTTCATCCGCCCTGAAACCATTTCCAACTTCAGGCCGTCCGCTCCCTCCTTCCCAGCGAACCGTCCTCTCATGGCAGCGGCAGGAGCCGGCGGTTGGGAGGACGCAGTGCGGGAAGTGGAAATAATACCTTCCATTACTGCACTGTGTCAGGAAGGCAAATGCAGTTCTTCGACCCCTGCATCCTTAACAGCTAAATGCCGGCTCCTGCCACTGCAGTTAGTGACCCGTGCGGCTGATTGAGAGAAAGAGGAGAGATAGTGATTCAGAGAGAGTGTGTTTGAGAGGTGAGAGAAAGAGTGTGTTAGAGAGTGTGTGGGAGAGGGAGAGAGAGGGAGGGGTATGGAGAGTGTGATTGAGAGGGGGAGCGAGAGTGATTGAGAGAGAGGGGGAGAGAGAGAGTAATTGAAAGAGAGTGGGGGAGAGAGACAGTAATTGAGAGAGATTGGGGGAGAGAAAGAGGGAGAGAGTGAGGGAGAAAGCAGAGAGAGGGAGGTAGAGCGATTGAGAGTATGAGAGCAGAGAAAGAACCAGATAGTGATTGAGAGAGAGTGTGGGAGTAGGATAGAGTGTGTATGGGAGAAGGGGTGTGAGAGAGTGTAATTGAGAGAGGGAAAGACAGTGTGTAAGAGAAAGACGGGGGGAGAGAGTGATTGAGAGAGGGGAGGGAGAGTGTGAGAGGGGAGAGAAAAAGAGTGGTTGTAAGGGGGGAGAAAAAGAGAGTGGTTGTGAGGGGGGAGAGTGTGTGTATGGGAGAGAGGGGGAGTGAGAGAGTAATTGAGAGAGGGAGAGACATTGTGTGAGCGAAAGGGGGAGAGAGTGATTGAGAGAGTGTGTGAGAGTGATTGAGAGAAAGTCTGAGGGGGAGAGCGAAAGTAATTGAGAGAGGGAGAGACAGTGTGTGAGAGAAAGGGGGGAGAGAATGATGAAAAAGGGGAGAGGGGGTGTGAGAGGGGAGATAGGATGTGTGGGAAAGAAGGTGTGAGACAGGGAGTGTGAGAGACTAATTAAGAGAGAGAGTGATTGAGAGAGAGGAAGGCAGTGTTTTGTGGTTCACTGTCAGGATAGACAATTGGAGCCTCTTTCGGTGCGGTTTCCTCACAGAAAGCTCCCTCTTTCCCCAGTGAGAAACTCCTCTACATCCCGACCTGGCCATACGTTTATCCAGCAAACATCAGCTTGCTCCATACCTCCGGAACACCATTTGCTCAATCCACTACTGCCTGGAACACTGCTGTGCGCAATTGGCTACCACATTTTCTCTACAAAAATACAGTCAATTCACTTTACAGTATATTCTGTAAAGCACCTTGAGACATATCGAAGACATGATAAGGCGCTATATCAAATCCAAGGATTATTATACCAAATACAAGGATTTTTTTTAACTCTCCACCATCAGTAGTACAAAAGGATTTTAACTCGGTGGCTGATGTTGTATAACTGCTTATTACCGAGGCAATAATGTAGAAAAATATAATATGAGTTATCCTCTCTATTTTCAGGGCTATATGTTTGGAAAATCTGGGGAAACCCTCACAATGAAACTGAGATACATGGCCTTCAAAGCCATGCTACGTCAGGTTAGTCATCCTTATTATATAGAAATAATTGTCACCAAGAATGATAAGTATTTGGAAACTTATGTCTGCTAACATGGTGAAGCTTTTATGTAACTATATAATTTCATTACATTTGGGTGACTCAGAGACAACAGTGCTCACCAGCACTGTTGTCTCTGAGTCAGAAGGTTGTGGGTTCAAAGCATCTAAGATGGCACTCCAATTCAGTGGGTTGAGTGGGGAGAGGGTGGGGGGCATTTTCAGAGATGCTGTCCTTCTGATGAGATGTTTAACAAGGTTACACATACCTCTGCAGGTGAATGTTAAAGATCCCATGGTATTATTCAAAAAGAGAAGGGAGTTTCTCCCAAGCCACAATCCCCTAGATTAAATTGATCATTCATTCCATGGCTGTTTGTGGGACATTGCTGGGAGACATCCTCCTGACACAAAAACGCTACAAGGATTATAATTGTAAACAAGGTCCAACAAAAACTTGAGTGATGAATGACAAATTAATATGAGGGATTGTTGGCAAGAACACTAGACAAATCTCACTTCTCTTTTCAAATAGTTTTGTGGAATCTTCAACATGCATCTCACCAACAACAATATAATTTTTAGTCCCATTTTTAGGATAGCACCTTGGACAACAACAACAAAATTACATTTGGATAGCACCTTTCACATTGGGAGGATGTCCCAAAGCACTGGACAGTGAGTGTTTTGGACCCAGCTGGGGGTCGAGATTAGGGAAGATGGAGGGCAGGGGGGAAGCAGGTGATCAAAAGCACGTTTGAAGAGGAGGGTCTTGAGATGGGTCTTGAAGGAGGGAAGGGAGGGGTTGAGGTGGAGGAACTGTGGGATGGAGTTCCAGAGTGTAGGAGCAGAGCGGCAGAAGGCCCACCCACCAACAGTGGGGTGGGTGAGGCGTGGAATGTGAAACAGGCTGAGCAGAAAGAGTGAGCAGGATGGTAGGGGGTTAGGAGATCACAGTGATAGGGGGAAGTAAGGCCATGTAGGGCTTTGAAAGTAAAGACCAGGATCTTGAACTGCATCCTCTGTGTGATGGGAAGCCAGTGGAGCCGTGCGAAGATGAGGTTGATAGGGTCACAGAGCATGGTGTGGGAGAGGACGCGGCTGCAGAGTTCTGGATGATCTGTAGCCTATGGAGGGAGAAGTTGGCGAGGCCAGCAAGCAGGGAGTTTGCATAGTCAAGCCTCGATGTTAAGAGGCTTGAGAACAGACAAACAAGGCCTCAATCTAATTTCTCACCCAAAAATAACACTACTGACAATGCTGAATGCTTCCACTATATTAGAGGCAACTGAGCCACAGTGACAAAAGTGGCCTCTTTTTTTCGTCAGCTGTGTATCTGACACATGCAGAAACCCATCATAATGCTTAAGAGTACCCAAACCAAACTGAAAGTTCCATGCATACCACCTATACATGGAAATTCCCATGTATTGGAATGGCACATATGATCCATGGAAGGGTACATCCTGTTTACGTAATTCTGGAGACTATTAGACCCAGGCTGGCAAGATCCAAGGCTTGGGGACCCCAGTTGTGCATTGGGGTAAGTCTGAAGTTTCACCAGGTAAAACTACATAGCTTGTCATTGAAAGCATTGACTGGCAAGTTTTCCTACTGCTGAATGGTCCTTCTCCCTTATCCTCTCCTTCTCTGTCTTCAGATCACAGCTGAAGACCTTTGCCCATGCCTATGATCCACACCTACGGTCACCTGCCCTCTCTAACTGGCTCCGCCTATGGTCAAGTTCCAGCACTAGTCACACTATCCTGTGTGAAGTACGCTATATAGATGCAAGTTGTTGTTGAAATATTCCCAACCCCAATCATACCAATCCTTGCCAGGCTCCACTGGCTCCCTGTGACTAAAAGGATACATTTCAGGATGCTCACACTCACATACAAATCTCTCACACCATAGCATCCCACTACCTGTGGTGTCCTGTAGCTCAGTGGTTAGAGCACTCGCTTTGCAAGTGAGAGACCTGAGTTCAATTCCAGGCAGGGCGAAACCTTGGGCAAGTTTCCTTACTCCACATGCCTAATAATAATCCCTCCAAAACCAAAAACAATAATAAATTGGTCATTTTCAATCTACGACTGTTTGTGGGACATTGCTGTGCGCAATTGGCTGCCGCGTTCGCCCACAACTATACAGTCAATTCACTTTACAGTGTGTTCTGTGAAGCGCTTTGGGACGTCTTCCCGACGTGAAAAGCACTATATCAAATGCAAGGATTATTATTATTATTACCTCCCTGACCTGCTGGTCTTCTACTCCTCTGCTTGCCCCCTTTACTTAGCTAACACAGGCCTGCTGAACATCCCTGACCCCTGTGTGCCAACATCAGTGGCCATGTCTTCAGCCATTGCACTCTAATCCCTGAAACTGCCTGCCTCAATCCCACCACTTTGCCCCTCCTTTTTTATCTTTAAATCCCATTTTAAGATGAATCTCTTAGACCGCGCCTCTGGAGACCTCCCCAACCCATTTTCCCCAGATGGGCATCCAATCCTGCCATTGTACAGAACACCCAGATGCTAATCTGCTTGAAGGTTGCTATATTAATGCATGTTGTTGTTATTGTTAATGAAATATTGACTCAAATTTGGTACTAGGAACCATTAACCCTCACCTGCAGCTGGTATTTGAACGATGTATCTCATGTTAAAGCAAATGTTTAATCTCAGCGTGTTTACAGAATTATACAGGACAGTTTTGTACAGAAATAAAATTACACTCATAGAGAGCAGTGAGCGAGAGAAAAAAATATTTAAGTATGTCCACCAAAAGCATGGTCCAATGGGTTTGAAAACAGATCAAAAGAGGAGGAAAGTGAAAGGATTTGGGGAGAAACTAGGAGCAGTGGCTGAAACCTCATTCACTAAGGATACAATTATTATTATATTATTATTAGTGGAAGGAGTAAGGAACCAAGAATAGACCAGGATCAGAAAAGTAAAGGATATAACTGGAGGACAGTGAGGCACAGGTATGCAATGAAGCAGAAATAATCAGCTCTCAGAATAATCCAAAGTACAGACTTTCTCCTTTCTTCCATATCTTTTTTGCTTCTATTTCTGTAGGAAATTGCTTGGTTTGATGATGACAGAAACAACACTGGAGCCCTGACAACCAGGTTGGCCACAGATGCATCTCAAATTCAAACAGTGAGTATGAGCAGATCTCAAAAAATGATGTGGAATGTAATTTACAGTGCTCTTAATAAAACATACATTATTGCATTTCTAAAACATTATTGAATGCTTTCTTCAGCACGACTATGAGCCATGTTTAGGAGGAGTTGCCTCTAGTACACTTGCAGAATAAGCTACAATTGAACACACTTACTCCTTTATTCAACAAATAAGTAATAAATAATAATCCTTGTAATTAGCAGCATTTTCAATGAGGCGTCTTCAGTAACATTTAACATCTCAAAACACTACACAAAGTCTCTGTAAAGTGTCGTAACTGTATATTTGTCGGCAGTCAGTTTACACACAGCACAGCAATGTGGTACAAACAGCCATGAAGTAAATGACCAATTTTATCTTGGAGGGTTGTTACCAAGGCAAGCTCCCTTCTCTTTCCCAATGTGTTTGTTTGAGGTCCACCTGACCTTCCTCTTTGACAGTGCCTTTGGCAAACTTCCCACCCCTGCCCCCTGCCCTCCACCCTTCCTGACCCCAACTCCCAGCTCAGTTCAAAATCCCTGATTGTCCAGCGCCTTGAGACGTCTTTCCGACACTATAAGAAGGGCGCTATACAAGTATAAGTTGTTGTTGACATCAGTTCAACATCTCATCTGAAGGACATCCCTTCTGACAACACAGCACTTCCCAGCACTGCATTACAGTGTCAACCTAGACCAGACGGTGCCAATCTTTTTTGTCAGCCAACAAAATAAAAATTATGCCATAAAACAAAAAATATTCAATCAAGAAAACCTTGAAACATACTACTCATCAAACCCACGGACCGTAGTTTGTCCAGCACTGGTGTAGACCATGAGCTATAGGACATCATATGTCATGATTTTCACCCCGTTGAATTTTCTAATAATATATTCACTTTTTTTCAGGCAGTAGGAGAAAGAATGGGATTAATAGCTCAAAATATTGCAACCATGGGAGGTTCAACTATTCTCTCATTCATATTTGGGTGGCAGCTGACCTTGGTGGTCCTGTTGATCATGCCCATCCTGGTTGTGGCAGGAATGATTGAAATGAAGTCTCTGAGCGGATATGCAATTCGCGATAGAAAAGAGCTTGAAGCAGCTGGAAAGGTACTGTTCAACACATTTTGCTAACTTAGTCATAAATATTTTGCATTTGAATAATGCCTTTGTGTTTCTCTTCAATTCTTTCACTTCATTTCTAAACTACGAAGGGTGGGGGGAGGTAAAAACATAGTAAAATATAGTCCACCACAGTTAAACTTGAGATCAACAAAAGCAAGAGAGCAGATTAACAAGAGAGAAGAGCAAAGTGTGTCAAGCAGGGAAAGGAAGTACAGTGATAGAGTGCTGGTGAATAGGGTTAACAGCCGGAAGTCAGAATTAAGGGCGCTATATCTGAATGCACGAAGCATTCGTAACAAGATAGATGAATTAGTTGCACAAATAGAGACAAACCGGTATGATCTAGTAGCCATCACCGAGACATGGTTACAGGGTGATCAGGGATGGGAACTGAATATTCCCGGCTACGTGGTATATAGGAAAGATAGGCGATGTGGTAAACGAGGAGGGGGAGTGGCCCTGTTATTAAAGGATGGAATAAAAACAGTAGAGAGGAAAGATTTTAAATATGAAAAGCAAGATGTAGAGTCAGTATGGGTAGAGATACGTAACTTCAAGGGGCAGAAAACTATAGTGGGAGTAGTTTATAGACCCCCAAACGTGGTCAAACTATCGCTCAAGGTATAAATCAAGAGATTAGTGGAGCATGTAGCAAAGGAAAGACACTAATTGTGGGTGATTTTAACCTCCACATAGACTGGGACAACCAAATAGGGAAAGGTAACATAGATGAGGAGTTTATAGAATGTATTAGAGATAATTTTCTAGATCAATATGCTGAGGAGCCGACCAGCGAACAAGCCATATTAGACCTTATTTTGTGTAATGAAACAGGGCTGATCAGCAAACTGGAACTTAAGGCTCCTCTAGGGCAAAGCGAACATAATATGATGGAATTTAGCATTAAGTTGGAGAGGGAAGTAGTTAAGTCTGAAGCAAAAGTCTTCAATTTAAATCGAGCCAACTTTGCTGGTATGAGAGAGGATTTAGCCAGAATAAACTGGGAGACTAAACTTAAAGATTTGACGGTAGACCAGCAATGGCAGACATTCAAGGAGATAGTGCAAAATTCCCAACGAGCACATATTCCTTTGAGGAATAAGAATGCCATGGGAAAGGTGGTGCAGCCATGACTAACTAGAGCAGTTAGGAAAAGTATCAAATCAAAAGAAAAAGCCTATAAAACAGTGAAGATGAGTAGTAAACCCGAGGATTGGGAGAACTTTAGGGAACAACAGAGGAGGACCAAAAAATTGATCAAGAGGGAGAAAATAGATTACGAGGGTAAACTAGCAAAGAACATAAAAACAGACTCCAAGAGATTTTACAAATATATAAAGAGGAAAAGGCTAGCGAGGGTGAATGTGGATCCATTACAGGCAGAGACTGGAGGAATTATAATAGGGGACAAAGACATGGCAGAGTCATTAAACAAGTATTTTTCTACAGTCTTCACCGTAGAAGACACTGGAAACATACCAAAAATAGAGGACCAAGAAGACAATGTTAGCGAGCAACTTAGGGAGATTAACATTAGTAAGGAGATGGTTCTAGGTAAATTGTCGGTGGCTACTGAGATAGTGGATGGCATGTCTATAATCTTCCAAAAGTCTGTGGATACTGGAAAAGTTCCCATTGATTGGAAGATTGCAAACGTAACTCCACTAGTTAAGAAGGGTGGGAGAGAAAATAGGGAAAACTATAGACCAGTTAGTTTGACGTCAGTTGTAGGGAAAATTCTTGAGTCCTTAATAAAAGACGTAGTTATGGGATATCTGGTAGACCATAAAAAGATTAAGCAGAGTCAACATGGCTTTACAAAAGGGAAGTCATGCTTTTAAAATTTTTTGAGGATGTATCCAGCAGGTTGGATAAGGGGGAACCAGTAGATGTAGTATATTTGGATTTTAGGAAGACATTTGACAAGGTGTCACACAAAAGGCTATTACTCAAGATCAAGGCCCACGGGATTAATGGGAAAATATTAACATGGATAGAAGAGTGGCTATTGGGTAGAAAGCAGAGAGTAGTGATAAACGGATCATTCTCGAATTGGCAGGATGTAACTAGTGGAGTGCCACAAGGATCAGTGCTTGGGCCTCAGCTATTTACCATTTACATCAATGATCTGGACGAGGACATTGAATGTAATGTGTCTAAATTCGCGGATGATACTAAACTAGGTGGGAGAGTGAGCTCTCAGGATGATGCAAAAAGATTGCAACAAGATATAGATAGGCTAGGGGAGCGGGCGAGTAGGTGGCAGATGGAATTCAATGTTAGCAAGTGTGAAATCATTCACCTAGGTAGCAAGAATAAAAGAACAGATTATTTTCTGGAAGGGGAGAAGTTAGATAGTGTTAGTATTCAAAGGAATTTGGGTGTCCTTGTACACCAGTCCCAAAAAGTTAGTTTGCAGGTGCAGCAAGCAACTAAGAAGGCGAACGGTATGTTAGCGTTCATTTCGAAAGGTTTAGAATATAAGAGTAGGGAAGTCTTGCTGCAACTGTATAGGGCTTTGGTGAGACCGCACCTAGAGTGTTGTGTGCAGTTTCGGTCTCCTTATTTAAAAAAGGACATACTTGCCCTCGAGGGGGTGCAGCGTAGATTCACTCGGTTACTTCCTGGGATGAGGGGACTGACCTATGAGGATAAACTGAATAAACTGTTAAACTCCTGCTTCTAGAGTACAGAAGAATTAGGGGGGATCTTATTGAAACTTATAAGATTCTTAAAGGGCTGGATAAAGTAGACACAGAGGGACTGTTTCCCCTGGTAGGAGAATCTATAACCAGGGGACACAGTCTTAAAATTAAGGGTCAGCCTTTTAGAACAGAGTTGAGGAAACATTTCTTCACTCAGAGGGTAGTGAATTTATGGAATTCACTACCCCAGAAGGCTGTAGATGCTCAGTCCTTGAACATCTTCAAGGCTGAGACTGATAGATTCTTGAAAAATAGAGGGATTAGGGGATATGGGGATAGGGCAGGTAATCGGAGTTAGGTGAGAAGATCAGCCATGATCTTATTGAATGGCGGAGCAGGCACGAAGGGCCGAATGGCCTACTCCTGCTCCTAATTCTTATGTTCTTATGTTCATTTCAGTTGCACTAAACCATTGAAAAAATGCCTCATTTTTGAGGGGTGATTGGTAAATTTGGTTGGTGCCTTTTTGTGAGTGTGAGAGTACATGAACAATAACAACAACAAATTACATTTGTACAGCACCTTTCAAGTCAGGAGGACATTCCAAGATGCTCGACAATTAGGGATTTGGGGTTTGGGATCAGGAACGTTGGAGGGCAGGGAGGATAGCAGGGTGGCCAAATGCATGGTTGAAGAGGAGGATCTTGAGACATACCTTAAAAGGAGGCAAGGCAGGGAATGAGGCGAAGGGACTATGGGGTGGGGTGGAGTTCCAAATGGGTGGGGCCAGAGATCCTGAAGGCCCGACCACGGATGGTGAGGTGGGGTGGGCCGGGCGGGGGATGTGGAGCAGACCACAGCCTGCTGAGCGGAGGGAGCAGACAGGTTGATATTGAATTAGCAGTTCACAGAGGTAGGGAAGAGCAAGGCCTTGGAGGACTTTGAAAGGTGATAAAATATGAGATGTTTGAGTGAGAGGGGGTCCTTCACAATATTGGTCATTCACTTTATGGCTGATTGTGGAACATTGCTGTGTCAAAATTAGCTGTTGCATTTGTCCACAAAATGTACACAATTACTATGCTTTATCGTACTTCCTGTGAAGCTAGGAACGAATGGACTCACAGGCCTACGGAGTCCATGCCTAGGGCCCCACCAGGGTACCCCGTGTGGGTGAAACTACCCTGTTAGTGGACTGCGGGCATGGATCTGTGGCAATCCAAGTGCGACACTCAGCACAATCACGTGGAGCCACCAATGGCAGTGTGGCTTACCCAGGCTGCCCCACATGGGTGACACTACCCAATTCCCAGGTGGGGGCGGTGGCAGACACAGGCACACTGGGCTCTACGCAGTGCATGGTGGAAAGGGAGCAGGCAGCATTTTTCTGGGTAACCTAAAGCAAGCATAAAGTCAGTGTTCAGGTGAACACCAGGCCTCCAAACTTTTAAACTTATAAATGGAGCTCTACTCCATTTATAAATTTAAAACCCCATTGTAACACCCAACCACCAAAGTTAATACATTTCCCAAAATTCAGTTTCCCAGCCCTAATGTATGAATAAACTGCTTATTTGCCAACCCATTGTTAGTTTATCCACATATGTCCAACAACATAATGTAAAACATTTCTTCAATTTCTAACAAAGTTGTTGGTAATATTCCATCATCACACATCATCCTTTTAGAAATAGGGAGAGCGGGAATTATCTCACATGAGAGATAAAGATGACTAATAATAATCCTTGCATTTGAAAAGAATGCCTTTCACTCTGGAAAGCGCTTCATAGGATTTAATGTGAAGTGTTGTACCTGTGTATGTTTCTAGGTGAACACAGCAGCTAATTTGCACACAGCAACGGTCTAGTATTAGCCCATAAAGTGAATGACCAATTATATTTGGGGTATTGTCAGCTAAGACACCAGGAGAAACTCTCTTTTCTTTTTGAATGCCCCACCCACCTCACCCCCAACACTGCATTAGGGAGGGTGTCAGCTTCGACAATATGGTGTCTTAGCTGACAACCTTCTGACTCCGATCCATGAAGATGGTCCATTTTAGCTCATCCTGTCAGAAATCCAATCCTTTAAGCACTTTTTTATATCAGATAAGTTAACTGAGCACAAACACCCTTCTTCATAATCCATTCCAGCTGTTAACATTCTCCATCCCTTCAATCTATCCTTATTACTGTATATTGTAACCATACAGTATATGTTCTCTTTATCTACCTCTTAAGACATTTACAATGGATTGATTTCTTAATTTGGAAGCCAGGATTTCAAAGTTCTTATAACATTTTGTGGAAAAGCAACTTCCAAATGAAGACTGAGATTGTGTGGATTCTGAAACAACAATCTTAAATCGTAAGGCAAGATTCTGAGAAATCTCAGGACTTGTAATAGCTAACAATGTGTGCTGTGTCAGCAGTGGAGGTTTTGAAAATTTTAAATTGAATCTCACAGCAACATAAATTCATCTAAATAATTTTTCCTAATTTAAAGGTCGCATCAGAAGCAGTGGAAAATATCCGGACCGTTGTTTCTTTGACCAGAGAATCTGCATTTGAAAAAATGTATGATGAAAATCTAAAGAAACCATTTAGGTCAGTAAATCCTTACCAAACTAACCATCGAAAAGTTTTCTTTTCAAAACTGGTGCTATTATTTAAGACACCTTCTAGCATCATGATTTCCTTTTACTATCTATCTTTTGTTCAGCTTGAAGTGACAGTTGAGAACAACTGCTGGTTTTTATTTTGTTGGCAATATAAGATAGCTAAATATAGATCTAATATGGAATTTAGAAGGAAATTATTCATGTAGAGAATGTAGAATTCAATGTTTGAAGATGAAATCCGCCATGATTGAAGCAAAAAGCATTAATATATTTAAAAGAACTTGATGCAAATATGAATGAAAAGGAGGGGTGGAGGTTCATGTGGCTTGTTTTTGTGTTGTATCATTCTATGTATTGAATTCAATAAAACCTTTCCTAATTTCTATTCAGATTCCTTCTTACATCTCTTCTGCTGTCATATATCCCTTTCAATAGATAACAGGCCAAAAAATTCCACCTTGTACGATTGCAAATTCTTAAATTCAGGCTTAATTTGAAAACCTTGTCCACAGTACTTAAAAAGAAACAGGTTACCAAATTAAGTCTGAATTTACAATTTTTTCCACAGTTTTGGCTGATGTTACATTTTAAGATAAAATGTCTTGTTCCACATCATATATGTCAAATAGCTTTTCAGCCATTAGTTAATGGTATAGAACGCATAGTAAACAACATTGATGTGGTTTAGTGCAAAATGTTAGAGAGTTGTGGGTTGGTTATATTACTCACCTATTGGTATAGTGTTGTGCTGTTTCTAAATTGGAAACTTTAGTGAACAAAATCTTCGACGAGCAATTCTGTTATTTCCCAGTCTAATGTGTGCAAAATGAATATGCTGATGCAGGCTGTGACGCTGAAGTAATATAATGCTATATATTGCAGAAATGCTCAGAGAAAGTCCCAGGTATACGGCCTGACCTTTGCATTCAGCCAGGCCATCCAGTATTTCAGCTATGCAGCCAGTTTTCAGTTTGGTGCATACCTCATATCAATCAATCAAATGGATATAGAAGCTGTTTTCCTGTAAGTAACGTATATTCAGTCATTCTCTGCTAACATTGAAAATGAAGACAGTGTCTTTATTTCAAATCATTTACTATGTTCTTGTTTGTAAGCTGCTAAGTGAGGCAGAAACACACTAGACTAGAGATATCTTCAGGTTACCTTTGTGAGAACAGTAAATATACACATAACTATTTTTTCACCTCTAAAGAGTACATTGGTCTGATTTTAGTGCAAAAAGGAATTACAAATAATAATAAATAATAATAATAATCCTTGCATTTGATATAGCGTTTTTCACGTCTTCTAGACATCTCAAAGAGCTTCACAGAATATACTGTAAAGTGAATTGATCGTATATTTGTGGGCGAATGCGGCAGCCAATTGCACACAGCAGTGTCCCACAAACAGGCGTGGATTGAAAATGACCAATTAATTATTGTTTTGTTTTGGAGGGATTATTAGTAGGCGCGTGGAGTAAGGAAACTTGCCCAAGGTTTCGCCCTCACATCGCCTCTACTTCATCTCCACAAACGTTTTCTCCTCTAGCCCCCGCACCATGTTGTGTGGCATTTCTCAGGCCTCTGTCCTTGGTCCCCTCCTCTTCAATAAATATTTAAGCTTCCTCTTGGTGACATCATCCGCAGACATGGGGTCAACTTCCACATGTATGAGGATGACACCCAACTGTACCTCTGTGTCTCCACCCTTGACTCCAGAACCACTGCTGTCCTGACAGAATGTCTGTGAGACATCAAGTCCTGGATGAGAGCTAACTTTCTACAGTTGAACATCAACAAGACCGAGGCTCTCCTGATTGGCTCTCATCAGCAGCTCCACACCTCAGGCGCTGACAGCATCACCAACCATGGACGTTCACTCCACCTTACTAAGTCAATCCGGAACCTTGGTGTCTTGTTTGACCCTCAACTATCCTTTCTACTCCACATCTGTGCCCCATGACCCGCTCTGCCTTCCCCCACCTCGCCTGCCCCACCATAGGCGGGCAGGCCTTCTGCCACTCTGCCTCCACCCTCTGGAACTCCATCCCTCCACCTTGCTCCCTCCCTTGCCTCCTTCAAGACCCAACTCAAGACCCTCCTCTGTGACCGTGCTTTTGACCACCCTGCTTCCAACCTTGCCCTCCACCCTCCCTAATCCCGACCCTCAGCTCGGGTCCAAAACTCTGACTGTCCAGTGCCTTGGATATCTTCCCGATATGAAAGGCGCTATACAAATGTAATTTTGCTGTTGTTGTGAAATACAGGCTATCTGGTTAACAATCCTCCAGGCAAAATTGGTCATTCACTTCACAGTTGTTTATGGGACATTGTTGTGTTCAAATTGGCTGCCGCATTCACCTACAAAACACACAGTTATTGCACTTCACATTAATTCCTGTGAAGCACTTCGAGACATCTCGACAACATGATAGATGCTATATCAAATGCTAGCATTATTGTAAGTTGCCTCCTCATCCCCTCCCCTTCATCTCCCAACCAAGCTTGGGTGCCCAGCCAAATTGTCAAGCACTTTGGGACTACATAAGTATAAATTATATTGTAAGCATTATGGTTAAGAATAAGCCTAACAACGAATACAGTTCTGCTTGAAAGTTACAAGTGATTCATACAATTCAACCTGATTAACCTATCTTATTCTAAATATCATTCTTCAGTGTGTTTAATGCCATCGTGTATGGTGCCATGGCAGTCGGACAAAGCAGTTCCTTTGCTCCTGACTATGCAAAAGCAAAAACCTCTGCAGCTAATCTCTTTGCACTATTTGAACGTGTGCCATCCATAGACAGCTACAGCACTGATGGCCAAAAGCTGGTGAGTATTTTGTTTCCCAGGTTTGACAAAGTAAAAATTTAGAATCTAACAAGCAGGCCAACATTTACAGACTAAGATGCCGGGCATTTACAGTAAACAATTTGATTGGGTCTTGCAAGCATTTGAAAAGATATCCATTTATAAGTATCTACCCTCTTTACATTATCTGATAAATTCCCATTTTCATATAGAACACAAGAATTAAAGATGTCACAGGGCTCCTAGGTTCCTATAATAAGTTTCTTCTCTTTCGGGAGCAAGCAATTTGAGCCACTAGCACTTTTCCATCAAATCCACATTAAAAGCTGGGCTTCTTCATTCTGGGATCCAAAGGGTGGCATTCAGTGGAATCCTGGAATCAATCAAGTTAGCAATTTATTTAGACATGGGCTCAACTCATACCTCTGTGAAACAGAATACCTGTAGGAACAGGAGTAGGTCATTTCAGCCCCTCAAGCCTGTTCCACCGTTCAATGGGACCATGGCTGATCTGTACCTCAACTCCAATTAACCGCCTTTACCCTATACCCCTAGATACCCTTACCTAAAAAAAATCTACCCACCTCAGTCTTGAAGTTCTGAATAGATCTAGCTTCAGCCTTTGGGGGAGAGAGTTCCAGATTCCCACTACTCTTTGGGGGCATAGTGGTGTATGTCTCTAGCTGGTGGCCCATATGAGAACTGACAAATCTGGTCCAAAAAAAGACAGGGAAGTTTGAACGTTCTACAAAACAGTATTATATATATATATAGTTTTGAGACGTCTAGAAGATGTGAAAAGCGCTATATCAAAAACAAGGATTATTGTTATATGCTATGTGCATCCCATTACAGAAAAGATATCTGTCATGGAAAGAGTACAACATTGGGTCACATGGGTGATGTGTTGGGTCACAATCCTGGGTCACAGTGGCTGATGAGCCTGAGGCCATAACAACATCTAAAAGGGAAGTTAGATGTTGTCCCCCACCCCCTTTTTCTCCACCCTCTTGATTACAATCCCAAGTGCCTTAAGAAATCTTCCCAACATGAAATATAAATGCAATTTGTTGTTGTTGTAGCTTCAGTGGGGATGAGCTAGCACAAGCTTAGGATTGGTTTATTGAAATCTATCAATTATGAAGCAGTTCCTCCACTGAGCCTCTATATATGAAAACAAAAGACAGAGTTACCAGGGATGTTCATTAATAGTTAAAATTTAGGTTGCTATCAAAAATAGAAAAGCTTGTTTGAATCATTGTCAATAAACATGTGATGTGTTTTCAAAGAGTGCCCAAGGCACGCCTAAATGGTTTCTTTAGGATTCCATTCAGGTTCAATCTTTTGTTGCCTAAAGAGGTGAGAGCAAAGTTGCAGCAGACAGTTTGATTCCTATTTGTGTTTTTATCACAGGATAAGTTTAATGGTGATTTGGAGTTGTCGAACATTGTCTTCAGATATGAGAGTCGGCCGGATGTCCCAATCCTCCAGGGTCTTTCAGTCAAAGTTGGAAATGCACAAACATTAGCTCTGGTTGGCAGCAGTGGGTGTGGTAAAAGCACCTCAGTGCAACTCATAGAAAGGTTCTATGAGCCCCTGGAAGGACAAGTGGTAAGAACATAAAAACATAAAAAATTGCTCGGTGAAAGAAGACCAAGTTCGCCTTCCACCACATGGCTTGACATGTTGTGTCCCAAACTATATATTGTATACCAAGATATTATTTTCTAGCAGAAATTTTTCTAGCTGTGTCCTCTGGATTTACTGTTTAGTACAAGATAAAACAGCTTATCATGGTCTACATTATCTATTCCCTTCTGAATTTTAAAGACCGTAATCATATCACCCCTCAACCTTCTCTTCTCCAGTGTGAACATGCCTAGTTTATCTAATTGCTCCTCGTAGTCCAGTTCCTCCATCCCCTCAATCATTTTGGTTGAAGGGATGGAGGGACTGGACTGTATCCTCAATTACTGCAATATCCTTTTTAGATTGCAGTGACTAGAATTGCACACAGTATTTCAAGTGCGCTTACACCAGTGATTTATAAAGTGGCAGGATTACCTCACTATTTTGGCTCAATATTGCCCTTTTAATATAGCCCAGCATCTGGTTTGCCTTATTCACTGCTACCAAGCACTTTTGCAATAGCGTCAATTTATTATCAATCAGGATCCCCAGGTAACTTTTCACTTTCTGTAAAAATTGTTTTCTTACCATTTTAAATAATAGTCCCTTCCTGGTTTTGTGTCCCCATGTGATGCACTTTACATTTCTCTACATTAAATTTGATCTGCCCAATTCCCAAGAATTTCAATTCCTCCTGTAACCTACCCTGTTCATCTTTGCAGTCTACCACCTTCATTAGCTTTATGTCTACTGCAAATTTAGCCACTGTGCTCGTGGCTCCTCGCTCCAGGTACTCTATGAAGATGTTAAATAAAAAAGGTCCCAAAACAGACACCCTGTGAAATTTCACTGGTAACATTCTCCCAGCCTGATGACATTCTCTGTACCACCACTTCTGGGATCAGTCAGCCAATTGTGTATCCATTGCAACATACTTCCACTGATTCCCGCTTTCTTTACTTTCCGTACCAGCCTTTCATGAGGTCTTACTGAAATCCAGATATACAACATCCGCTGTCTTACCCTTATCAAGCTCCTTTGTCACACAGTCACAGAAAACCAGTAAATTACTTTGGCAGAATCTCCTCTTCGTAAACCCATATTGGCTATATTTTATCATTTTATTACTGTCCAGATGCTCCATGATCTTATTTTGAATATACAGTGAATATAGACTCAATTCACTTTACAGTATATTCTGTGAAGCGCTTTGAAATGTCTCGAAGACGTGATAAGGCACAGTATCAAATACAAAGATTATTTTTGATAAGAGTCTCCATAACTTTACCCTCAATGGAAGTCAAACTCACTGGTATGTAGTTTCCTGGGTCACTTTTGCTACATTTTTTTTGAAAATAGGAGAACCATCTACCTTTCGCCAGTCCCCAGGCATCTCTTCAGTATCCAGTGATTTCTGAAAGATTTGTGGCAGAGTTCTGCAATTTCCTCCCTCGGATGCAATTTATCCGGCACTTGGAATTTGTTTACGTTAAGTTTGCACAGTTGTTCGGGAACTATGTTGGTAGTGATATGTATAATGTCACATCTTGCCTCTGCAGCACCACTGAGTTCCCTTTCCAGATCCAATAAATTTACCATCTCCTCTTTGCTAAAATCTGAGGTAAAAAATGTATTTAGTCCATATTATTTCATAATATGATGGAATTTAGCAATAAGTTAGAGAGAGAAGTAGTTAAATCCGAAGTAAAGGTTTTAAATTTAAGTAGAGCAATTTTGCTGATATGAGAGAGGATTTAGCCAAAATAAATTGGGAAATTAGACTTAAGGATTTGACAGTAGACCAGCAATGGCTGACGTTTAAGGAGATAGTGCAAAATTCCCAGCGAGCACGAATTCTCAAATTGGCAGGATGTGACTAGTGGAGTGCCACAAGGATCAGTGCTTGGGCCTCAGCTATTTACAATTTAAATCAATAATCTAGACGAGGACATTGAATGTAACGTATCTAAATTTGCAGATGACACTAAACTAGGTGGGAGAGTAAGCTCTGAGGATGATGCAAAAAGATTGCAACAGGATATAGATAGGCTAGGGGAGTGGGCGAGGAGGTGGCAGATGGAATTTAATGTGGGGAAGTGTGAAGTTATTCACCTAGGTAGAAAAAATAGAAAAACAGATTATTTTCTAGAGGGGGAGAGATTAGATAGTGTTAGTGTTCAGAGGGATTTGGGTGTCCTTGTACACAAGTCTCAAAAAGTTAGTTTGCAGGTGCAGCAAGCAACTAAGAAGGCGAACGGCATGTTAGCGTTCATTGCAAAAGGTTTAGAGTACAAGAGTAGGGAAGTCTTGCTGCAACTGTAAGGGGTCTTGGTGAGATCGCACCTAGAGTATTGTGTGCAGTTTTGGTCTCCTTATTTAAAAAAAGACATACTTGCCCTAGAGGGGGTGCAGTGTAGATTCACTAGGCTAGTTCCTGGGATAAGAGGACTGACCTATGAAGATAAGTTGAATAAACTAGGGCTATATTCTCTAGAGTACAGAAGAATTAGGGGAGATCTTATTGAAACATATAAGATTCTTAAAGGGCTGATAAAGTAGACACTGAGGGTCTGTTTCCCCTGGTAGGAGAATCTATAATCAGGGGTCACAGTCTTAAAATTAAGGGTTAGCCTTTTAGAACAGAGTTGAGGAAACATTTCCTCACTCAGAGGGTAGTAAATTTATGGAATTCACCACCCCAGAAGGCTGTAGATGCTCAGTCCTTGAACATCTTCAAGACTGAGACTGATAGATTTTTTAAAAATAGAGGGATTAGGGGATATGGGGACAGAGCAGGTAATTAGAGTTAGGTCTGAAGATCAGCCATGATCTTATCGAATGGCGGGGTAGGCTCGAGGGGCCGAATGGCCTACTCCTGCTCCTAATTCTTATGTTCTTAAGTTCTTTCTGCAGCTTGTGTAGCATCATTTGTCATATCCTCACCCGATCCCACTTTCAATTTCCCTATACCATCCCTCATTTGACTTCTCTTAATGAAACTGAAAAATGTTTTATTGTTATCCTTCACATCTTTACATTTGTTCAGTTCAAAATTTTTCTTTGTTATTCTGATACCTTTCTTACAATCCTGGCATGCATTCTGGTAATGAGTCCATCTTTACTCTGTGTCATTTTCCTTCACGGCCTTCAATGTCTTTTTTTTCCTTTTTATGAGGAAGACCAATGTGTGGTGTAAGACGAATACTTCCTTTAAGGACTAACAATGCAATATGGAATCATACTCACCTTTTCCTAGTGTGCAGTGGGATAACTGCTAACAATTTTCAATGTTAAATAGAAATCTTGTAACAATTCCACTAATTCCCAGAGTGAGGAGGAATATTTTCAAGTTTTTCACCATGATAACCACAGCTTATCATATTATCCACCTCAGATCCACAAGAACTATATTAAATGGTCCCAGGATTAATCTGAGAGTAATTTTCCATTAAGGACTGAAAACATACTTTTTGGTGGTGGGAAGTGGGAGAAATCTCTTTGTGAAAAATTGGGTAGATATTTGATTCAAACAATTACTCAAAAAGAGAAGGGAGTTTCTCAGAGTGTCCTGATCAAAACTCCCAAATACAATTGGTCAACCCTGTGCTATTCAACCGCATTATTGCTGAGAATATATGTGGTGTCCTGTAGCTCAATAGTTAAGGCATTCATCTGACAAGCGAGAGACCTGGATTTGATACCGAGCAGGGCGAAACGTTGGGCAAGTTTCCTTACTCCACACGCCTCTGTTTACCCAGCAGTAAGTAGGAACCTGGATGTTAGTCAATTGGCGTATCGCTTTTCCAGGGGTAATAATTTCTTCAAAAAAAGAAATTTAAAAAAAGGCACTATTCAAAGAAAGAAGGGAATTTCTCTCTCGGTGTCCTGGCCATCAATGCCCCAAAATAAAATTGGTCACTCAATCCACGACTGTTTGTGGGACACTGCTGTATGCAATTGGCTGCCGTGTTTCACCCACAAAATATACAGTCAACTCACTTGACAGTATATTCTGTGAAGCGCTTTGAGATGTTTTGAAGACATAATAAGACGCTATATCAAATGCAGGATTATTATTATAGATATTGCCTGTGGCAACAGCAGCAGGATTGTGTCACAGGAGATTGAAAAGAAAGCAGTAAACATTTACTCTTTAATTCAACAACTCTCCAATGTAAGTATAATACTTATTGTATTACATTTAATCGTAACTTAATGAATGTCTCTACTTAGATTCAGCACTTTGAGACATCTTCCCAATGTAAAAGGCACCATTATCAAACACAAGAACTTTCATTATCAGATAAAAAGAGGTGAATATAGGAAATTGTTTAGTTATGACTTAGATGTAAATGAATAGATCCAATTCCTGACGTGCATAAATCAACACATGTTATATGTTTAAATGGAGCTCTTGAGCTATGACTGACTCTTGTTCTAATTGTAGTTATTAGATGGAAATGATATCAGAAACTTGAACATCCAGTGGCTTCGATCACAAATAGGCATTGTATCACAGGAGCCTGTGCTCTTCAACTGCACTATAGCTGAGAATATCGCCTATGGTGACAACAGCAGGACTGTGTCACAGGAGGAAATTGAAGCAGCAGCAAAAGCAGCAAACATTCACTCTTTCGTTCAACAACTCCCCAATGTAAGTTTTCTACTTCTTACATTTAATCATAACTTAATGAGTGTCTCTACTTACAAATTAATTCTACATAGATTAACTGCTTCACCAGTGTGATTCCTAAACAGCTAACAGCTTTGACATTGGAAGAAATAACTCAAAAATCTCATTGTTCTGAGAGTATAGAATTGTTGAAAAAAAGTTTATAAATAAATAATGATCATCAATAAACATTTCATAAGTGAAGTGTACATTTATAGCTCTAATGGAGCATGAATATTCCATAATTCTGCTGTTATGTAAAAATCTTATTTAATTTTTGTTTTAATTTTCAATGTAACTGTTTATAACCATTCAATATAATAATCATTCCCTGTGCAATCATTTAGAGATTAGTTTAACACTAAACAACTACTAAGGGACAGAACACCCCTCAGAGTATGGTTTCACTCATCAACTTCTTCTTCAGACCAGTTGATGCCATTTTTTTGATGCACGGAATGTTTTATTTTAGATTAGTCACTGGAATGGCCTTTAACTTTTTGTTGAATAAGCATTTTCCGGCCATTATCTGATGAAAAAGCCTTGTCTCCCAAGCCTGAAAATACGATTTGACCCATCGGACTTAGACTTCAAATCTAAATGTTTTTAATGATTGCAAGGTTAATGGCTGTTACAGGGATCCATTTAATTACATGAGACTCGGTGGTCTGTATGCATTTTATATTAACATGTTAATGGAACTCTTTCTAATATTAGAAATATAGCACGTATGTTGGGAACAGAGGGACTCAGCTTTCCGGTGGGCAGAAACAGCGAGTAGCTATTGCTAGAGCCCTCATACGACAGCCCAAAATTTTGCTTTTAGATGAGGCAACATCTGCACTTGATACAGAGAGTGAAAAGGTACGTCCTGAACCTTCACCAGTGTTACTATTTGGAAGTCTTAAATTCCTTGTAACTTTTGATAGACCTAATACCAGCATGAAGGTGGGGAGGGGAGAACAATTAAATGGACATAGGAAATTATTATCCTGAAATCGATAGAAGATGCTCATTTTTTTTCAACACTGTATATTATGGCAATGTCATATTGAAAACACTTCAAGGGATATAACTGATATCATCCTCCAGTATAATCACTACCATGATTCAATCGCCCGTCTGTAAAGTGTAGGAATATGCAAAATGATGATCAGTTAGTAGGATACTGGAGAGCAGATAGAGCCAATGGAATCATATCCTATCAAGAGTCATGCCCGCAACAAGAAGAATAAGGAGGTATATCTTGTGGGAGAGATGGAGTTGGGGATGCAGTGGTTCTTACCCACGAGTGACTTGATGGGCCTCCAGGCTTTTTTTGAGCTCTGCCTCTATACATATACAATACAAAATTACATTTGTAAAGCACCTTTCATGCCAGGAGGACATACCATTGTTTTTTGGGAGGTCATTTTCTTAGGTGAGTTTTAAAAAAAATTTAATTAAGTGACTAACTGTGATGCACCTTTACTCATCTCACTACTCTGGGCCTCTGATTCCCTGAAACTGTTTCCCCTGTCATTTGGCCATTTAAAAGAAACAAGAAACTAACTTTATATGGCCAGCTTCCCGGTGGCTGTAGAACTTTATTTATGTAGAGAAACTATTCACAGATGACCTTCAAATTACCAACCAGCCTCTCAGGCATACAAAAATACATGACTGTAATATAGAGTGAGATACCTGAGTTCAATTCCAGGCAGGGCGAAACCTTGGGCAAGTTTCCTTACTCCACACAGAGCCTAATAATAATCCCTCCAAAACAAAAAACAATAATAAATTGGTCATTTTCAATCCACGACTGTTTGTGGGATGCTGCTGTGCGCAATTGGCTGCCGCGTTCGCCCACAAATATACAGTCAATTCACTTTACAGTATATTCTGTGAAGCGCTTTGGGACGTCTAGAAGATGTGAAAAGCGCTGTATCAAATGCAAGTATTATTATTATTATTTAGAGAGAACACAAAATGAAGGCAGAAAATTCAAATAATGAACAACTTGCACTTACAGCTGTAATGTCTCGGAGCATTTAACAGAGACATTGCCAAACACCAAACAGGGTAGCAAGAGAGAAGAGAGAGCATTGATGGCACAAATAGGTCANTTTTTTAGGTGAGTTTTAAAGACAGATAAGGGAAGAGACAGAGGGGTGGAGGGAGAGATTTCCAGAGGGTGGAGCATAGCGGTTCAAGTCTCAGCCACCAATGGTGAGATGAAGGCGAGAGGGACATGCAACAAGCCCAAGTTTTCTGAGTGGAGGGGGTTAGCAGAAGAGTGAAGATGGAGAGGATCACAGAGGTACAGGAAGTAAAGTTTCACCCACAAAACACACAGTCAAAACCGATAGAAATTATCCAGCACTATAAATAATAATAATCTTTGCATTTGATACAGTGCCTTACCACTTTGAAACATCCTCCCAATGCGCTATATAAATTTAAACTATATTGTATATAATACTGATTAAAGTAGCTCTACTTAAAGAATGTTTTTATTCCTCAGATTGTTCAAGAAGCTCTGGACCAAGCAAGGGAGGGGAGGACATGCGTGGTGATAGCTCATCGCCTGACAACAGTGCAGAATGCAGATGTCATCACTGTTATTAACAATGGAAAAGTATTAGAATCAGGCACGCACGAGCAGCTAATGGCAAAGCGCAAAGCTTATTATAACCTAGTAAATGCACAGGTCATTCAATAGAATGATATATTTATTTAAAGTACTAAAATAAACCCTCCAAATCAAAAGTTAAATATTGGCTGGATAATAAAATGCACTTACAAATGGAAGAATGCTGATGTTCTCGCTCACTCCACAGCCTTCCTTCCATCATATAATCTACAATCTTTATTTTGGAGTCAGCCAGGATTCTGACACAGCACAAGTTAATTCATCAAGCTTTCTTTTTAAACCATGCAAATATCAAGTATATACAATGAAAGAAATTGCAGAAGAAGAGCTCATAAGATATATCAAACCTATGGTGATGCTAGCTCCTCAAATGGAAATAATCACTCCAATCACAATTCCCTTCTCTTTCCCTGGAACCTTATATATTCATTTTCAAATATTCCCCACATATCTGCCTTCAGCCAGTGTCACACAATGTGCTTGACAGTGTCACCTCCATCAAATATTTCTGATGGAGGAATTGAATTCCTGAATTGAATTGAATCCTTCAATTTCTCTTCAGAGAGAAAGGAAACCAATAGAAAGCAGCTAATAATAAAATATAATAGTAAATAATAACATGTTTATAAAAGGAGAGAAACGGATAAGTTTGATATCATTCATACCAAACAAATATCAATTGTTTCATTCAAACTCTTGCAATTTTAGTATCTATAGACATTTTGTAAATGGACCTCTGAATTTAATTTCATTTCATGAATATCTTGTAATAAATAATATGGATTCTGATTGAAGATCAAAGGTAACTCAACACTCAATGGAAAAGATGCATCCACCATGTGCAAAAAAAACATGTACTGATATGGTTGTCAATCTGTCCTCATGGACTTTGCTTCGCTTTGTTCTTCTGGAACACAATAACATCAATTGTTATCAGGATCCCATCAAGAGTGTTTATTGCAAAGCAAGTTGCTTAGTATTTCTGCAATAAAATTCTTATTGTTTATTATCGATTCTTCTTAAACCTGCAATAAATGTTTGGTAAAAGTCTTCTCATGACCTGTCGTGATTAGAGCAGTTACTGGTTGGCTTGGAGGAATTGAATTCTATCCTTTGAAGAGTTATTGAACCCACTTAAGTGAGTATGTTCCATGTGCTATCAGCATTAACTGTTTCATGCAGCAATGGACAGGCTTTAGTAAATATGGCACAAATCTTCACGTTAATATTTAGATAATATTTTTCAAAATCTATAATTTCAGAACAATCAATGTTTTAGAAATTTGATAATTATACATTTCTCTCTTTGGGTCAGCTGGGTCTGTAACATATGCAAAAACCTATCACCATGCTTAGGAGCATCCAACTCAGGCTGAGAATTCCTTGCATGATACCTAGACCACATTGAAAACAATCTGGCAAGCTTCTATCTGCTCGTCCAGTTGAGGACCCTATACATTAGGCTTTCAGGCTTAACAGAAGTCAGTGGGAAGAATCTCTGCCCTCGGGCTGGCTGTCCTGTCATCAGCAGTGTTCTGAAATACTGTGGACTAACCCAGCTCAGGAACTGGACTTCCAACACTGTATTTCATTTTAAGAAATCTGGTAAAAAAAAGTACAAATTGGACCCTACTGTAAAGGATCAGATTTGTCATTGCCCATTTATAATGTCCAAATGTGTGAGCTTTCCAACAGTTTCAGATTGCCCCAAGTTTGCTGGAACATTAAATTCTTCCCAAATCACTTAGGAATTTTAACATCCACCTGAACAAGTGAATATGACCTCTGTTTAGCGTCTTGCCCAAAGGAGGGGACTCTGACAATGCAACACTCCCCTAGCATTGCACTGTGAGTTCAAAGTGCTGATTTGGGACATAATTCAATTTGTTGCAGGATTTTGGAGCTGGGCTCAAGTCAGCAAAACCACAGTTGTTTTTGCAGAAAGTTCCTTCTCATTTTAAAGTCAAAGCTGCTCAGCAAGCCAGTATTAATGTAGCTGGCACCTCTCCCCTTACTTTCATATCAGGTATAGAGTAACATGATGGTTATACCTGTAATTGATTGTGTGAATAGCAAATTGTGTGCAGGTTCAGGTTTTCACTCAGATGCTTAACAAGGCCAACAAAATCCATATGAAAATACTAAACCTGCAATCTCCCTTTTAGCAGTTCAATATCTGTACTTACTTGATGCCAGCTATCAGTTGATCACTCCCTCCTTGGAAATTGGAACAAGCAGATCACGGTGAAATTGCAATTCTTTCTTAAAGTGAAAGCTCATTTTGATTCAAAGCTGAGAATCAGTGTAACTGAAACACCATTTGAGAATAAGATTTTTTAAGAACATTCTACCCTCAAAGTGTTAATAATTAAGCTTGTGTCAAAGTAAAAATACATCTTAATTTTTGTTTCAATCAATATCACACTTATTATAAGTAAATCTGTTGCTCTTAATCAGGCGTATCAGCCTGGCTCATTTGGTTGCACTCAGTGTTGCAAAAGTTGTGAGTTCAAGCCCCACATTGGAAGATTCAGCTGACAGTTTGGGTTTACACTCCAAAGTAGTGATGGGGAGCACTGCATTGTCCAGGATGTCATTTTTTGGATGAGACATTAAAACAGAGGTCCTGTCTGCCTGTTCAGGACATTGATAATACAGCAAATTAAAAATTAGGAGGGAGTTTCACTTCTGACGAAAGGTCATCCACCTGAAACATTAACTCACTTTCCTCTCTCCATAGATGCTGCCTGACTCTGCTGAGTGTTCGCAGTGATTTCTGTTTTTATATTAGGGAGTTTATATTGGTGGCCTGGCTAACAATCCCACAATCACTTCATGGCTGTTTGTGGGATATTGTTATGTTTGTCTACACAGTCACTGCACTTCACAGTAAAAATGCTATAATGTTCTTTGATATGTCTAGTCAAAACTGATAAAGCTCTATATCAAATGCAAGGATTATTATTATATTTTCTTGCAGCTATTGTTTTCTTGCAGTTGCCCCTAGTTACCACTAGGTTGCGCTCTTAAACCACTAAAGTGTGTCGAAGATATTTATTTGTTTTCATAAATTATGCAATAGATACTTTGAATTTATCAAAATAGCCAACTCAATAATCTTTTTTGATAGTAATGGAAATTGTAGAATTAAATTTCATTACCAGTTATGGCAGAAAGATGTTTTACCATTTTATTTTGGTGCAAAAACTATGCCTTTCAATGCATTTTCTACAAACAGTATCAGAGGGTTAAGTTAAACTAAACTATCCTGCTAAATTTGTCTGGATTTTCTAATGTTTATAGTTTCCAATGCAGGAGAGACAACAGCAACAAAATTACATTTATATAGTGTCTTTCACTCTGGAAGGACGTCCCAAGGCGCTGAAATTAGCATTAGCTGAGGTGGTATCCTTCGTGAGAGATGTTAAACTGCAAGAATTATGGGCAATGGTAGGAGCCCTCTGACAACATTTTACATTTTAGTCAATTACGCTGGGCATTTTTCTCCAGTAACATGCTTATGAAAAGATACATGAATTCTGCCACTTTTACAAGTCGGTCGATGAGCTGAAGCAGTAGCATCAGATTCTACTTGCTTCGTAATTTCTCTTGAACAGTTGCTCTTTACACCTCACGTTGAATGATGGAAAACCATGCAGCTTTTATCTGCCCCAATCCCGACAAACTGAAAATAATAGATTACAAAACCATTGTTGTATTTGTTCATGGTGACTTTGTGGGAGCTCGCTGCATATTATTTTGTTGTGTCAGTCTGTGATAATTTTTTGTCAGGGGATTCTCACCATTTGTGTTTTTAAAAATCACTGAGCAAAGTTAGAAAATGTTATCTTGTCCTGTAGAAACTGACTTGTGGACAAAGGTCACACAGTCAAGTGCATCTTTCCTTAATCCTTGTTCCTATTTCCTATTAAACATATGTTGTGGAAAGTGAATGAATAGACCTCAGTTCTGAATCATTTGTATTATAAGTTGCCATATAAAGGAAAACAGAGAACAAAATAAAGACTGCTTGTTCCATTAGTGGCCATTCATTCCACATACCACCCAAAACCTTTCCTTTCACACCATTCGCTCTATCTCCTGGGTTTAAGCACTCCGGGATGCTACCCTGTATGTGGGGCACTGTATAACTGCAAATTGTTGTTATTGTTGTTGAACGTTCCAAAGGTAAAGACGTACAAACGCCATTATATTTATCCTCGCTTCACTCACTATTTAAACCTGTCCTACTTCTCTCCACAGATAGCATTCCACTCTCCCAAACCACAGAAATCATTATGTCCTGTGGAGTGTTTGATCACCTCTATCCGCACATATCCTTCAGAACTGTTCCCAAGCGAATACGTATCCCATTCTTTTCTATAGGAATTGATTGACATTGATTTGTTGGAAATCATTTCCTCACACCCACGCATCATTAAGCTATATTGCAACAGTAGGGGCTGCATTAAGTCAAAGAATTGAAACTTTGTAATCTAGAGGAAACTTGATACATCCATGAGGGAGAAGGGAATAGAGGGAAAACGAGGGGAGGAGGCACTTGTGGAATATAAACACTGTCACAGACTATTTGAGTCAAATGACCTGTTTCCATGCTGTATCATTCTATGTAAGTGATATAAGGGTGAAAAGCTTATCTTTGTACTTTAACATCCTTGAGCATTGCTGGGAGGTTTTTAGTGCTCATGGAGGGACTAAAACATACTCCCCACATTCAGATAACATCACTTGAGCTCCAAGACTTTGACATAAGTCAGACTGTGGTTCTAGATAGATTTACAAGGCTGAAAACCAACAAATTCCCTGGAAAGGATGAATTGCATCACAGGTACTTAAAGAGGCAATGCAGGAGATTTGTGCAGCACTGACAAACTATATGAGGGAGTCAATCACCACTGGGGAGGTTCCAATAAATGCAGTTTCCACATTCAAGAAGAGTGACAGAACCATACTTAGCAACTACTAACCCCTTAGCCTGGTCTAATGGGCCACCCAAGAAAATGTAACTTTAAAATTGAAACTTCAAACTTAAGTTTGACGTTTGTTTGGAATTGTCTGCAATAACACACAATTTACACTGCAGCAGCCTGCACTGATTTTATTCCCAAACCACTTTCAGGGGACACTTTTGAGACCATGGCTCACCATCATAGTGATGCTCTTACATGAGATTCAAACTACAACTTTAGGATTATTTCAATGTGCAAATTGCATCAAATCAATATTGAAAGTGTCATATGAAAGGGAGATCTTGGGAAGATCTCGTACAATCCTACTCCACAGCTCTCCTCTCTTCTGCTCTGTCATTTCTGACTTCCTCCTTTATGTACCCTACTCACATTTCCCCACCATCGATGGCAAGCTTAGAGCCACTTTGCCCCCGCTCTCTTGAAGTCTCTTCCAGAATCCCTCTGCCTCGTCCTATTTCTCTCTGCTTTCAAAACCCACTTAAAAAATTATGGCTTCCCAAACTGGAACTTGGGAAACTTCCTCCCTGCCTCATCACTTGCCAGCTCAGCTCGGGAAAAGTGCTCTGCCTGAATGGACTATGCAAGAACACGTTGTTGTTATTGTTCATGTTGATAAGAACCTGGCCAAGAAAGCAAAAATGAGGGGGTAAAAATTTCAATATGTAATGTGCATTTATCACTAGTAACAATTATCGTTTTGTTGATAAATTCAGCCAACAAGACAAGTTGTTAACTATAAAGACTGGCCATGGTGTGACCTTCCTCCACCCCCTAACCTCCAGTCAAAGTCCCAAACATATGAAAGCACAGAATGAAAAAATCACTATCTAAGTTAGTGCTCCATTGCAGTGCTGTGTGTTGGAGGCGCCATCCTTCACTTAAGGCATGAAACTGAGGGCAAACCTGCCTCCTAAAGCTATCCCTTCATAGTGTAAGTTTATTGCTGCCTCTTCCTAAATGTAAATTACAGTTATCTACATTAGTTGCAATCTACCTTATGTTAGCCCTTTTTTATGAATATATGTATACATTATACATACATACGCATATTTTTTAAGA